TGGTCTCGGGGGTCTTCTCCCTGACAACTCACCCTGTGTAGCCTCTGGGTAGGGACCCCGGGAATCGGCTGAGCAATGGGGCCCAGCAGCAGCGGGGCTGGGGGCACTGTCATTCTTGGAGTGGGGCTTCCTGTCTTTGAAATAGGCTGGGAGGGACTTCCCTGATGGTCCAGTGGGTAAGACTCCACGCTCCGAATGCAGGGACCTGGGATCCCTCCCTGGGCAGGGAGCTAGAGCCCCATGCCACAGCTAAAGATCTCGAATGCCCTGTGCCCCCAACTAAAACCCAGTGCAGCCAGATAGATTTTAAAAATAATAAATCAACAAAATAGGCTGGGGGGACGGGGGCATCCATCATCACCGAGTGTCCCCCGAGTGAAGGGGCTGATGGAACGGGGCGACCAGGACAAAGCAGGTCCCTGCGGTCTCAGGACACTCACCCTCCTCGTCCCCGGCTTGTCCCTGGAGTCAGAGGCGGCGGGCTCAGAAGGCGCCTTGAGCTCCTCGCGCGGTGGCCTCCTCGGTCTGCACACCGCCACGGGGACCTGGGAGACGGCTCCCATCCTCCCGCCGCCTCTTTCCCGCCCAGCCTCTCCTCGGCCTGCAGTGACAGTGGCCTCACCTTGTAAGACGTGTCATCTTCGTGGCTGGCCTTTCTGCACCTGCAAGCTGAGAGGCATTAGACGTGCAGGAAGCTCAGATAAGGGCGAGATAATTGGCCTCTTACTGCTTTTTTATGGCTCTTTCATTATCTGAAACCTTTGGGGAGGCCCCAGGAGGAGTGTTTGCCCACAGGGAGAATTAGATTTTCCTGCCAGGCAGCAGCTGGGAGGGGCTGGCCCTGGGTGGGCGCAGGGTGGGTGGGGTATGGCCGTGGCAGGCAGCCAGAAGGGCCAGGGCGGGCGGAGGCCCCCCCTCATTTCCTTCCAGGCCCACTGCTTCCCTCGCCTGGGGGGTCTCTTCCCTCCCCCTGCCTGGGGTCGAGGAGGACAAGACTTTGCAGGTAAATGGCAGATCTGGCGCTTGCTGGTCAGGTGATCTGGGGCAAGGTAATTGCCTATTCTGAACCTCACTTTGCTCATCTGCAAGATGGTCATAATAGGACACGCACTTGTCCTCAAGCTTCGGCAGAGCCCTGGGTGCAGAGGAGATACCCCAAGGTGCAGAGCGTGGGGGGGTGGTCTGTGGCGAGGCCTGGGAAGGCCTGTCCACCCACGGGCACCAGCCTCTTCCCTGCTTAGGGGCTCCTGGTCTCTCTGCTTCCCTCGGCCGTGGGGACAGTCAGGGTGGGCGTGAAGGTGACTGTTGGACCCCCGCTTCCTCACCCAGGAAGCCAGGACCAGTGCCCTGACAGCTGCTCAACAGAAGCCCGAGCCCAGACCAGCATCTCTAGTTGGGCCAGTGGCTTAGACCTACGCTGTCCTGTTCGGGGGCCACTAATCACATGTAGCTATTTAAATTACTTAAAATGAAATAAAATGAAAAAGTAAGTTCACTATGTTTTGGTAATGTGAAAACAGGGACTAATATTTTCAACCCCACCGTGGCTTTTAGTATGTCATAAAATATTTACAGATCCATTCTAAAGTTGTCTGACTTCACCCCCAAATACCCACATCCGTTCTCTGTGTCACCTTTTGAAATTACCCAGGGCCTTCTCCCGTGTCCTCTAGTGAAGACACCTTGCTGCTGGGTGTTACGATTTCTCCAGGACAGAGCCTTGAACTTGTGTCTCTGACTCTGTCTATGCTGAGCACTCTTTCTCTCTCTCCTTTTGAAAACATGTATGGGAGAGGAGCCAAGCGAGGTTCCGTGGCCTTGTGGCACAGTGAACCTGCTGTCGGTGAAGGTCTGAATGCAGATTCCCTCCTTCCACATGGTCTGGTGGGGAGAACGCAGACTCTGCAGGCGGACAGTCCAGGCTGCAGGTCCCAGCTCCCTCGGATGAGCCGAGTGACTTTGGGTAGAGTTGTCAAGACTTTGAGAGGCTCAGTTTTCCCTTCTTAGCGTGAGGACCATGCTGCCTGCTTCACATGCATTCCTGTGAAACGAAAGGTGCGAATATGGGTAAAGCCCCGCAAGCAGCACCTAGCATGAGCTTCCAAGAGTCACGCATCGTCCTGGTTGCCAGCTCAGAGCAAAGTTTTTAAAAAGTTCTTATTTGGTATTGGGGTAGAGCCAGTTAACAATGTTGGGATAGTTCCAGGTGAACAGGGAAGGGACTCAGTCGTACATGTGTCCATTCTCCCCCAAACTCCCCTCCCATCCAGGCTGCCACAGAACATTGAGCAGAGCTCCTCGTGCTATAGAGTAGGACCTTGTTGGTTATCCATATTAAATACAGCAGCGCGTATAGGTCCCTCCCAAACTCCCCAAGTATCCCTTCCCCTCATCCTTCCCGCTGGCAAACCTAAGTTTGTTCTCTAAGTCTGTGAGTCTGTTTCATGCTGACTTCAGCTGGAATGTTTGGTTCCATATGAGCTTATCCGAGTGGCTGGACGCGGTGCTTTGAGACGTCTCCTGGTTAAGAAGGTGATGACCTAGGACTGTTGTTAGCGACCAGGGCTCAGGTGACTCCCTCCAGACCAGCTCTGTCCCATCTTGGCCTTGACTTCCCGCTGACAGAAAGCGTTACCCCAGGACTGAAACGTGCCCCTCACCCCCGGGGTGACTCTGCTCACTTCTGGCAGCAAAACTGGAGTTGAGATGCTTCTCCAATAGTGCCGGAGCTTAGGCCTGTGCCATCCTGTTTGGGGGCTGCTAGCCACATGTGGCTGCTTAAAGTTACCTAAAGAGAAATAGAATGAACAATTAAGTTCCTTAGCCACACGAGTTCCACCAGCCACCTTCCATGTGCTCCGTAGCCACGAGTGGCTCCCTGGACAGCAGAGATGTGGTATTGCCCACCGTCACAGCCGCCTATGCTCTGTTACTTGAGATGCAGTCCTGAGGGCCCAGCTTTGGGACCCAGCAAGCTGTCTTCACCATCCGGCTCTGCCACTCACGGGCCCTGTGATCCTGGGCGGGTTCCTCTGCCGACACCTGCAGAGCAGGAAGGATGCTAGGATCTGCCTGAGAGTCACTGGGGAGGCGAGGCCAAGGGCCAACTCGCAGGAGGGGTCCTCCCCTCTCCCTCCTCCTCCCCTCCCCCTCCTCTCCCCCCCCTCCCCCCTACCTTCTGGGTGGCAGATGTGGCTTTTTTTGGGGGGGGGATGGGCTTTATTTTATTATTAAAAAGTATTTATTTTATTTACTTTTGGCTGTGTCAGGTCCTAGCTGTGGCCCACAGGCTGTTTTTTGTGGCACAGGCCTCTCTAGCTGGGGTGTGCCGGCTCAGTGGTGGCCCGTGGGCGTAGTAGCTCCCCGGGGTCGAGCCTCTGTCCCCTCTACTGAAAGGTGGATGCTTAATCCACTGAACTGCCGGGGAAGTCCCCTGAGCTTGGGCTTTAAAAAAAACCCAAACAAGCCCTCTCCACCTTGGGATCGTTTTAGATTTACAGAGATGTTGTGAAGGCAGGAGACAGAGCTGCATGTACCCCCACACCGTTTTCCCATTGCTGGCAGCCGGCACGACCACAGGGAATTTGTCAAAACCAAGAAATCAGCGTCAGTACGTCACCACTCCCCAAACTTCTCACTTTATCTGATTTTCACCCGTTTTTCTGCCTACGCTCCTTTTCTGTCCCGAGACCCCACGCGGGACTCACGTGGCATTCAGGCTCCCGCAACCCCACGCGGGACTCACGTGGCCTTCAGGCTCCCGCGACCCCATGCGGGGCTCACGTGGCCTTCAGGCGTTATTCACCCTGCTCTGCTCTGCCTACGCTCCTTTTCTGTCCCGAGACCCCATGCAGGACTCACGTGGCCTTCAGGCGTTATTCACCCTGCTCTGCTCTGCCTACGCTCCTTTTCTGTCCCAGGACCCCACGCGGGACTCACGTGGCCTTCAGGCTCCCGCGACCCCATGCGGGACTCATGTGGCCTTCAGGCTCCTGCGACCCCACGCAGGACTCACGTGGCCTTCAGGCTCCCGCAACCCCATGCGGGGCTCACGTGGCCTTCAGGCGTTATTCACCCTGCTCTGCTCTGCCTACGCTCCTTTTCTGTCCCGAGACCCCACGCAGGACTCACGTGGCCTTCAGGCGTTATTCACCCTGCTCTGCTCTGCCTACGCTCCTTTTCTGTCCCAGGACCCCAGGTGGGACTCACGGGACCTTCAGTCACCATTTACCCTGCTCTGTGAGCTTCTGTTTCTTCACGATCTCGAGAGTGTTGAGGTGTGATGGGCAGGTGTTTATAGAGAGGTCCCCCAGTCCGGGCTTGTTTGGTGTTTTTCTCAATTTGCTTGGGGCCATGGGCTTGGGGTCAGAGCCCCACAGGGGTGAGCGCCCTGTCGAGTCGTATCTGGGGACACGAGACCTGTGTGGTATCACTGGGGACGCTCACCTGACCACTTCTTACGGTGGAGTCTGCTTTTTCCCCACTGAGTTCCCTTTGCTTCTCAGCTCCCAGGAAGCACATCTCTGGTCCAGCCCATCCTCAAGCGTCTGTGGGGACGAAGCCCTGCTTTCTGTGTGCCGTCGTTTGAAACTTTACAGGTCCTTGTCATTCAGATGCAGCCCTTCCCACCAACCATTGCCTCTGTTTTGTATGTAGAGACTGGGACACAGAGATTCCCCCCGGATCTGCCCTGGACGAGGAGAGTCTGGGTGCCCTGGCCAGGAATGCATGTCAGTCAATCCTTGTCAGTTATCATGATGAATACATTTGACCTTTATGCTCTTGTAAAGCAGCAGGCCAGCTTTGCAATGCCTTCTAAAGGTGAGGACGCCAGGAGGGGAAGGGGCTCGTCCGTGCCGACCCAGCTGTGGCCTCCCCAGCCCTTCTGACTCCCGGCCTTGGGGGTGAGTGGCCCCGTCACCTGGTGAGGAGCTGCCCGAGGCTTCAAGGAGCCAGCTGTCCCACCCCCCTGGCTCACGGCTCCGTTTCTTGGCCCGCAGGAGGCCGGCCGCCGTGAGCAATGGGGACGCTGTGGACGCAGCTTTCTCCGAGGTCCAGCGCTCCAGCTGGAGGCGGAAGAGTTCCCGTCGCAGTAAGTCCCCCTCGCCACCCTGCTGCCCAGGTCTCAGCCCCAGGAGGGTGATGCCAGGAGAGCCCCCCTTCTCTAGGCTGAGGGAGCTGATGTGTGCTCATGCTCCCTGAGGGGCTGTCCTGTGGGTTTGGTGGTGGCTCCGAGGCAGACCGGCCACTGCCCACCCTTGAGACTTGCCGCTTTTGCCACCCTGGAGCTGTGGTCTGGGAGTAATCACACATCCAGCTGTTCATCTGTCCCCCACACCCCCCCAAAGCTCCTACAGGTCGATCTGGGTGGTGGGTGTTCCCCGGTGCCCAAGACGAGGGGGTCCCTCTGGCAGCAGTCCCAGACACATGGGTGGGCGCTTACTGTGCAGAGGGCGGGTGCCAGGCAGAGGGTGGGAGCTGAGAGAGCCCACGAGGCCCGAGGCAGAGCACAGAGGAGCAGGCATCAGGGCCAGAGTGTCCAGGTCGAGGGCAAGGGGATGCCTGTCACTGGGGAAGCAGTGAGTCTTGGTGTGGTGGAGGGGAGGGTCTAGGGTGAGCAGGGCCCGGTGAGGCTGCCATCTCCCCAGGTCCTCCCAGGGTGCATGGGGGAGGCCTTGGAGGCCCTGCTTTCCCAAAGGTGCCAGGGAGCCAGCTGTGCGGCCACGTCTGCATTTCAGTGACATCACTGATGCTTTGGGAGAAGGTAGTGGGCTGGATGCTGTCTGGGGGAGGCAGACGACGGCTGGAGCTAGGGACCTGGAGAGAGGTGGGCAGGTCTGATGGCCACTTGAGAGGCAGAATCTGTGTTGGTGGGAGGGGGCGGTAAGGGTCCTACAGGGCTTTGGAGGCCCTGTGACCACAGGAGGCAACAGGGTAGGGAGGAACTTCAGAGTTCATCTGGTCCTCTGTTCCTGGAAGGCCTGTGGGGGGAGGACAAGTCCCCCGCAGGGCTGGGGGCTGGTTTTCCAAAACCTCTCTCGGCAGGGCTGCATGTCCCTAAAGAGGGCACAGACTGGGCACACAATTTTAGGGGGCAAGACCTCTGTAAATATTCTGTTTCCGGAGCTACTAACATGGGTAGGGTGTGTGCTCTGCCCTGCTTATAGTCCACCCAGCAAAGTGTTAAGGGAATAGCATGCTCATTTGCTGATTTTTTTTTTAACCAGTCAGGACCCCACTGGCTGAGTTTTGGGGGACTGTCCTTAACCCCACTCTCCAAATCCCATCATCCCTGCTCCCTGCCATCACGTGTAGTCAGGGTGGCTGCCTTGCCCTCCCCCACCTCTGGGTACCAGGTGACTCCTTTGGGGGCAGTCCTGGGGGCCTGGGCGGCTTAAGAGGCTTCCGAGGCCGGCCCGGTGCTGCTGCGTCGCCTCAGGCTCTCTGCAGGTGCCATCAGCCAGGTGCACAGGCCTGCTGGAGCAGGCGGGGCTTCCGCGGCCTTTGGGAGGGCTCCTTGGAGGGCTGGGGGCGGGAAGAGGCAGCTGTCCCAGTCTTCCGAGAGCAGTGGCCGGCGGGGGCTCCCCAGGGGCCGGGCTGCAGGCTGCTGGCCCGTCCGGGCCGCGGGGACGCGGGCGGGCGGAGCGAGCGCCGGCTGGTGCAGTCCTGATGTCAGTCTGGCGGCCGCCTCCCGCTGGGCGCCACAACCTCATTCGTGCTCCCTCCCTGTCCTTCTCTCGCAGTCGAGCGGTTTACTTTCCCCGCCCTGGAAGAAGATGTGATTTACGACGACGTCCCCTGCGAGAACCTGGACGCCCAGCAGCCCGGTAAAGCCTCTTCTTTCTGGGCAGAGTGGGGGACGGAGGGGGGAGGCGGGGCCTGGCGAGGGTCTCCTTGTGCACTTCCTGCCCGGCCCCACCCGGCGCATGGCCCCTCCTCCCTGCTGTTAAAAACCGCTGCAGTCAAACCCGGAGAGTGGGAGAAGGCTGCGAGCTGGCCGGGCTGGGGCGGTGCTAGGGCTGCATGGGCGGGGTTAGGGCTTCTTGGACGGGGTTGGGGCTTCATGGGCGGGGCTAGGGCCGCATGGGGCGGGGCTAGGGAGCGTGGGAGACGGCTGAGAGCTGGCCGGGTTGGGGCGGGGCTAGGGCTGCATGGGGCGGGGCTAGGGCTGCATGGGCCGGCGTTAGGGCTCCATGGGGCGGTGTTCGGGATTCAAGGGGCGGGGTTAGGGCTTCAAAGGGCGGGGTTAAGGCTTCATGGGGCGGGGTTAGGGCTTCTAGGGGCGGGGTTAGGGCTCCCTGGGTGCGGTATAGAGCGTCCAGGGGAATATTGGGGCTTCAAGGGGTGGGGTTTGGGCTTCTCTGGCAGGGGGTTGCTGGGCTGTGGATCCCCGACTGTGTCCGACTCTTTTCTAAGTCGCGTCCGACTCTTTTGCGACCCTCATGGACTGGAGCCCGTCGGGCTCTTCTGTCCAGGAGATTTTCTAGGCAAGAGTACTGGAGTGGGTTGCCCTTCCTTCTCCAGGGGATCTTTCAGACCCAGGGATTGAACCCGTGACTCCTGCCACATTTTCAGCATTGCAGGCAAATTCTTTACCGCTGAGCCACTGGGTTCTGTGGATCCCCAGGCAAGTCATTAACTTCTCTGGGCGTCCTTTCCTCCTGAAAATGGGTTAATAGTTCAGACATCCCAGGGTTGTTGGGAATGACAGCTTGTTAAAGCTGAACGCAGCAGAGAAAGCCCGGGAAAGCCTGGGCCTGCCTCTGGAGACAGGCCCCTGGTGGGCTGGGAAGGTGGGGAGATTGTGGCCACAGAGGGTGGACAGGGCAGAGGAGGGTCAGGCCCCTGGCCCAGGCCCACATGCTCACCTGGCTGGAGGGAGGACTACCCAGGGAGGAGTGTTTAATATCCATTCACCGTAAGAGCCATCTTTGCTTGAACACGCCAGTGGCTCTTCATGGTTTGTCTCATGTAATTTGGTTTGAAACTTTGACTTAGGCTGTGTGTGTGTGTGTGTGTGTGTGCGTGCTCTGTTGCTCTTTGAGACCTTATGAACTGTAAACTGCCAGGCTCCCAGGCTCCTCTGTCTGTGAAATTTTCCAGGCAAGAATACTGGAGGGAGTTGCTATTTCTTACTCCAGGGGATCTTCCTGACTCAGGAATCGAACCCACATCTCTTGCATATCCTTCATTGGCAGGTGGATTCTTTACCACTGCACCACCTGGCAAGCCCCTTGGCTTAGGGGATTACTTCCTTATTCTTCAGAGGAGGAAGCTATAGAGGAGGACTGGGATTTGAACCTGGGTCATTCTGACTCCAAGTCCAGTGCTCTGTTCCTTCGCTCCAAAGAATTTGGGTGGCATTTTATGGCAGATGAAGCACAGTTGTTCCCCCTGCTCAATCAACCTGAGAGATTGGTTGGGTAGGGCCTATGGCTCCAGTTGACAGTCATATCAGAGAGGTTAAGCCACCAGCCCCAGATCTCACAGCCAGAATTCGAATAGACATCTGTTTGATCTGCTTTTTGCATGACACGATTCTGCCTGTCTTCAGGGGCTCCCCATCTCAAGCCCCTGCATTTGAGGAGCTCCCAGTCTGACAGGGGCAACCATAACCATGCTGGGGCAGCATACAGTCCAACAGGAGAGCCGCACAGACAACAAGACAAGGCCCGGGGTCCCCGGAGGCACACTCCTGACGCCCATCCCAGGAACCGGAAGGCTGGGCTTGTGATCCACACATCCATTCAGCAAGCCCATCCCTAGAGAAGCCCAGAACCCTTTTCTGCCTGTAGCTGTCTCCAGTCTGGAAGAGTGGGAATGGGTGGCTATATGAAGGTCCCAGAGCCGGGAGATCTGAGTGGCCTGAGGCCATTATTTGGCCCCTTTGGGCTGTTCTCCCACCTGAATCCCATCGAGCCGGTGATTGCTTGGTCACAGTCTTCACTGGGCACCCCTGTGTGGGGATATGGCATGTCCTGCAGTTTACTCTGAGATGGCAGGTGGCCGAGAGCCAGCTCCAGGCCTGCAGACTGAGGACCAGGGTCCCTGCCCTGGGACACCCACTCTCTCTCGAGGCTGTGGCCGGCCCTCAGCAGGTGCACGCCACAGGAAACGCTCTTGTTGTGAGCGTCATACCTGCCAAGGCCCAGCGCTGACCTGCGTGGCCTGTGGGCTCGCTCAGTGGGCCCTCCACGGGGAGGGTGTCCACTGAGGTGCAGACCACATGGGCCAGTGGACACACAGCCCTGGGTCCTTACCTGGGTGCTGCCATTGACTCGGGCACAGGGTTCTGTGCTTTGGGCGTCCACTTCTTCATGTGGAATCAGGATATCATCCTGACCATGTAGGGCTTTGGGGAGGGTTGTACCACAGAACTTCTTCTTAACCTCTCTGGTCTCATTGGATGCATCTGTAAGACCGGGCAGCACTAGCTTCCTCCTTGGGTTGTAGTGAGGATGCCACGAGGGGGTTGATGTAGAGCCCTGAGCAGGTGGTCAGTGCTTTGAAACAGAGGCTGTGATCTTGAGCATTAGTGAAGCCCGAGGCATCAGCTAGGGCTGGAGGTGGGGAAGCAGACCTCTGTGAGGCCCCTGAAGACTCAGGAATTTGGTGCCTCTGTCTCCGCAGGAGACAGTGTTTCTCAATGAGCCTGGGGATCGTGAGCATGGCCTCTGTGGAAGGCAGCGCGGTAGGTGGATGGAGCCCCCTTCCCGCTCACTGCCTGACTTTGGGCTCCGTTGGTCTCATTTGTCTGATAGGATGAGGTGGTAGTTTCCAGCCCCAGGGACCGCTGGGAGAACCTGGCGTGTAGGTGGCTGTAGGTGGCTGTAGGTGGCCGGGGCCAGAGGCAAGAAGTGGGTGCCACGTGGCTCTTGCTTCAGGGTGCCCCAAGAACCGAGCTCTGCCCCTTGGCTCCTGGGTCGTGGAGCCTCTCCTGCAGCGATGGGACAGTCACCCCAGGAACGGGCACAGCCTGGTCTCCAGCCGCTCGACTCCCTGGAGACATTGGTCACTGTTGTCTTCTGCTGAAAAATAACCATGCTCCCTCCTGATCCCGGGACCAGAGTCTCCAGCTAAGCCTCGTGTGTCTGTTCTGCTCTTTGGCTGACAGTCTCTCCACACCCCTCACCCCCAGCCTCCCTGTGTGGGGAGGTGGAGGCTTGGGGTTAGTGCAGAGGCACTCAAGCCCACCCAGGGCCCCCATGAGAAAGGACCAGTTGCTCTTTGCTGAGTGCCTGCCGCGTACCAGGCTCTTGGCTAAGGGCTTTTCATCCCTGTTTTTTATTTCCTTCACCTTTCAGCTTATTATTATCTCCATTTTGCAGACAGCTCTGAAAGCCAAAGTTCTCAGCTCTTTAGTATGTGCGGTTTCTGAGCAGATTTTTTTTTTTTTTAAATTTTAACCCCCCCCCGCCCCCCGCCAAAAATAAAATTTAAAACCCATCCTAGTGCCATTTCCTCTGAGCTGACAGCAAGCATTTTCACCTCCGTGCAGTTTTGGGAGTCTGGTCTCACTTTTGTGAGGCTTGCGTCCAGCTAACAGCCCAGGATGTGAACTCCCATCTGTGAAGTGGAGGCTAGGCTGGGACCCTGGGTTCTGGGCCCAGGAAAGTGGATTTCCTGTCTTGGAAGCAGCATCTCAAACCCGAGTTTATAGGGACCACAGCAGGCCCAGGTCCTCCAGGCCAAAGGACTCCCAGGTCTCTGTCCCGTTTCCTGTGGAAGAAGAGGGAACACTCCTGGATGCTAGGCCAGGCGCGCCCCCTACTGGACTGTCCTGGAGCCTCATGGGGAACTCAGATCTGGGACAAGGGACCCGAGTCCTTCAACGCTTCAGACCATCTTCACTGCCCGTGTCCCCCCTAAGGGTGCTGAGGCAGAGCTGAGGGCCCGAGCCAGAACTGGGTCCCCGGTCTTCTCTTTTCCACTAAAAAATGCCAAAGAGGCCCAGAATGAGCACTGAGATCCTGGAAAAGTGATGCCAGTAGGGGGAAGAAATTTGTTTTTTTAACTTTCATTTTCTCTTGGAGCATAGTTGATTAACAGCGTTGTGTTAGTTTCAGGTGTGAAGCAAAGTGATTCAGTTAAACATGCATGTGTATCTGTTCTTCTCCACTTTCTTTTCCCATTTAGGTTATTAAAAAAGTGTTGAGCAGAGTTCTCTGTGCTATAGGGCTTCCCAGCTGACTCAGCGGTAAAGAATCTGCCTGCAACACAGGAGATGTGGGTTCGATCGCTGGGTTGGGAAGCTCCCCTGGAGAAGGAGAAGGCTACCCACTCCAGTTTTCTTGCCTGGGAAACCCCATGGACAGAGGAGCCTGGCGGGTTACAGTCTGTGGGGAGCCGGACAGGACTCAGGGATGGAGCACACACGTCTCTGCCGTACAGTAGCCCGTGTTGCTTATCTGTTTTAAGCACAGCCGCGCGTACATGTTCCAGACTCCCAGTCTGTCTCCCCCACCAGGAGGACGTTGCTGGGCCTGTTGTGTGCCGGGCGCATTTCTTGTGCTTTTCTGCATTTTCATGTCCTCCTCACTCTGCGGGTGGATGTCATGTTCTCCTTGCCCCACACTTACGGATCAAGAAGCGCAGCTGGAGGTCCACCCTGACCCCGCCCCCATACCTGCCCCCGCCCCCGAGTTCAGAAACTGGGTCTGCTGGGCTTGGCTCACCAGCCGCGTCTCTTGGCCAGCAGAGGCGGAGAGGAGCCAGCCCTACGAGGATGCGCGCCAGGACAGGGCGCCCCGGGAGCCGGAGGACCTAGGCTGGAGCTCCAGCGAGTTCGAGAGCTACAGCGAGGACTCGGGCGAGGAGGCCAAGCCAGAGGCAGAGCCCGCCAAGCATCGAGTGTCCTTCCAGCCCAAGGTGAAGGGAGGGGACATCTGTCACCCCGGCCCCGGGCCCCCGAGAGCCGGGCGGTGAGGGCCAGGGCTGAGACTCCTGGCTCAGCCTCAGTGATTCCCAGGAGTGTGGCGAGAGAGGGAGCGGGGCCCTGGCGTCCGGAGACGGGAAACGACCCGCCGGAGCTGGATGGCCCCGCGCGCCCCTTACCGAGAATGGGCGTGGTTAGTGCCCTGCGCCGGCGCCGCCCAGCTCCGCTGTGCCTGCGGCGCCCCGGCATCTGAGAAGGGTGCTCACGGAGTCAGATCCGGCCTCAGAATCCTCCTCCTCACGGGCTCGGGCAGCCTCACTGATGGCTGAGAGGTGACACGTGCACTAATGGTGAAGTCCAGTCTGCCAGTGCAGGAGACACAGGAGACGCGGGTTCGCTCCCCGGGTCGGGAAGATCCCCCGGAGGGGGGCGTGGCAACCCGCTCCAGTGTCCTGCCTGGAGAATCTCAGGGACAGAGGAGCCGGGCAGGCCACGGTCCATGGGGTCACAGAGAGTTGGACTCGACTGAAGCGACTTAGCACACCGGTGGATCAATCCAACTCTGCTTCTCAGATCAGTCCTAGACCCCACAGCCCTCTGCCCTGGGGAGGTGACCAAGCGGGCTCAGACAGAGCCTCCAGAGGGCTTCTTTTCCAAAGCCTTTCAAAGAGCCATCCACGCATTGGTAGCTTCTGGTGTTTCTGCCTGGAACGTAGTTCACTCTGTTGACTTCACGAAGAAGCCACGGAAGCCGAGAGGACGGACCGTCTGGTCCGTCCTCTCCTGTGACGGCCTTGCCCGTCCTGTTTGTTCTGGCTGCGCGGTCCCTAGGTCGTGTCTGACTGTGTGACCCCGTGGACTGGCTGTAGCCTGCCAGGCTCCTCTGTCCTCTAGAGGCCACCAAAAGGCAGACGCTCTCCACGCTGAGATTCGGGATTTAATGGGAGCCGCTGCTTTGAGACAGGCCTGCCCGACCGGAGGTGACTGGGTCCCTCTCAGGTTCTATTTTGGAAAGACCGAGGCAGGCAAGTGAGCCGAGGTGTCAGTGAGTCTTGCCCACAGGGAGGGCAGCGAGCAGGCAGGGGCCTCAGGCCTGGGCTGGATTATGGGGGGTGTCCAACTCCATGTTTTCAGAGTGCCTCCCACCCCTTTCTCAGTTTGGGGATCCCCTGGTGGGGAGGGGGTGCAGGCCAGAGCAGCACCCACACCTAGGAGTCTTCAGACAGACTTTACTGAGATGAAGAAGGCACCCTAGTCCTCAGGAAGACAGGGCCTGAGCAGGTGTCCCCTGAGCCCCAGCCTCCTCTTGGCTGGTCCCCACGGCAGGGCCACAGAAAGCAGCCTTGACCTCTTGCTAACCAAAAAGTTAAGCATCTCTGACACCTCTTAGGGTGCAGATGGGGGTCCCGGGGGGCAGGAAGACCCAACCCAGGCTCAGGGAAACCTTGTGGCCTGGGAGGAGATACCAAGTACCAAATGGTTTGTCAAAAAGGAAGAAAAACAGGCCTTTCTGTGAACCTGAGCCTGTGTTCCTATGGCCTGCCCGACGCAGGTGGGATTTGATGGGCCTGATCACAGGAGGCTTCCAAGAGAGGTGGCAGGAGCCGGAGGAGACGGGGGTCCCTGGTGGGAGGAACAGCCCAGACGAGAGCCGGAGAACAGGCCCCTTCCTGCTTCCGCCCTTGCAAGACTGTGAAGCCACCGCTCCCCCAGGGAGCCTCTTGAGAGGAGGGTGGGCCCTGTGTGCCCAGCGTGGCTCTGGAGAGTGTGGGCAGCTGGGACTCCAGGCCTGGGCCAGCCCTTGTCCCCAGCCCCTGGCTGTCCCTCCAAGTCCCCCGTGGCCGCATTCCTAGCCCCCTGCTTTCTTGCTGGGGACCGAGAGGGAAGCGTCAGGCCCTCTCCGGGCAGGAGGTGGGGGATGTGGAGTTTGGCCTCTCCCGTGGGCATTGGGATCACGGGGGCAGACGCTGGGGCCTCACTCCCAGCTCCAGGGCTGGATGGGGCCTGGCCACCTGCTTTTTAACAGCCCTGGGTCCCCAGGGGCGGCTGGGGGCCCACAGAGCGCTCTGAGAAACGCTGGGAGAGCCCTCCGCTTGGCCTGGTCCCAGACGGGTCCTGGCGGCTGCCTGTGGACCCCTGTCCCGCACACCCTCAAGCTCTTCCTCAGCAGACAGATGGCGTGGCAGCGTTCTTGGAATTTCTCACTGCGAGGACTTCTTCCCTGGCCGCGGGCCCGGCCCACCTGCTCCCCTGCGCATGGTGGAGGGCTTTTCCTCTGACAGCCGCCTCTGCCTGGGAGCCCCCCGCTGTGAGCCCCTCCTGAGCTTCAGGGCCCCCTCTGCCTGCCTGCGTGCTATGCGCTCTGGGGCCGCGGACAGCCGAGCTGGGCAATGTCGAGTCCTATCCTCGGAGACTGACGGGCCCGCGCCCCGTGCAGCTGCGACAGACCAGGGGAGCCCCTCCTGCAGGTGTCTGGCCAGGCCAACCCTCGGCGGGCGGGCTTTTGCCAAAGAGAATGACAGGGTCTGCAGAGGGACCCCTCAGAAGCCCCTGACCCAGACCTAACTGGAAGCCTGGTCCAGGTTCGCGAGGGCCACGGTCAGTGGGAGGTGCCTTTTCCAGTTGTGAAATGAGCTGCACTGAATGTTTTCCTGACTGTGGCTTCTTCGTGATTAGGGTGACCGTGGTCTGGCTGTCAGAGGCCTGGACAGCAGAGCCAGCTGGGGCCTCAGCTGCTTGAGTCTGATCTGGCCGTTGCAGTTGGCCTAGTCCTTCTGACCCTCAGGGTCAGAGAGGCGGAGGCCCAGGGCCTTCATGACTGTATCACATCAGTCTTTTTTACAGATGAAACAGGACTCCAGTGTTTTGGGAGGCTGATTAACTCTCAGGATTTTCCCAGTCCCGCTACTTCTTTGCATATCAGTAGCGAACCTTTGCCTAGTATGGTACAGCTTACGGAGCAGTTTCATTTATTGTTCCTGAGACCTCAGAGTGGTTGGTATCATTTCCTTTAAGAGTCTCATTAAAAAGAAAAAGAGCCTCATTTTGTTAGGATCAGAGAACCTAAGCGACAGAAGCTCAGAGAGGTTAAATGATGTGGTAAAGGCCACACAGCCCATAAGTGGTAGAACCCCAACTCAACATCACATCTGGTTGGGAAAAAAATACTGTGTCCATTCATCAATCCATCCATCCATCCATCCATCCATCCATCCATCCATCTGTCCATCCAGCCAGCCAGCCAACTGTCCATCCGTTCAACAAATATTGGGCACTTAGTATTTGAAAGACAGTCCAATAATACTGGCTTCCATTTTTTTGAACACTCAATAAGCTCTAGGTTCTGTCCGCTTTGCCCGGTTAACCTTCTTAATGACACTATGAGGTGGTTACTATGGCCACTTTACCTGTGAGGAAGCTGTCACTCAGTGAGGTAAAGAGACTTCGCAGCTGGTCAGCGGGGAACAGAGATTTGAAAGTAGCCTCCCTGCCTCTCAGCTCATGCTCCTGACCCCTCTGCTTGTCTGCTTCCTACAAGTAGTTCCAGTCTTATCTTCTCTGCACTTGGCCAAATGCCACCCTTGCTCCTGAGGTTCATGCATTTGAGTGGCTGTCTGTCTGTGCATCTCTCTGTCCATCTCCCCAGATGATATGAAGCCAGTCAGCCCCGTCCTTCCATCCAGTCGCCCGCCTCTCCCTTCCCAAGCTGTTCCTCCCTCTGTCCGTCCACCCTTCCTCCAAGTGACGGGCTCCGGCCAGTTGGTCCTAGCTCATTAGAACCCGAGAACCAAACGTGTGCATCCCTTCCCAACCTCACGTTCAGTGACGTCACATCGGTAGCCTGGAACTGTCCGCGGCGAGCATGCTTGAGCCACGGAAATGCAAGGAAGCAGGGTGCTTTTCCCTGCAGAACCACTGGTTGGCTGTTTACCAGCATAGCACTGCTTCCGTCCACTCACTAATTCATCCACCTTTTTATTCATTTATGACTATCGGTTCGTCCCTCTACCCATTTGCCCAGCTGTAGAATCATCCAACTGAATGTATCCACTTGCTCTCGCATCCATCCGTTTATCTGTCCATCCATTCATCCGTGGGCCTGTTCATCTACCATCTGTCTGTTGCCCACCCAGCCAGCCACCCCTCTCTGCACGCACCCATCCAGCCACCTACCACCCTTCCATCTCAGAAACTTACCAAGAACTTCCTCTGTCAGGAGCCCCACGCTGGGCCCCCAGGATGGGGAGATAACGGAGACACAGCCCTTGTCCTCTGAGTGCTGTGAAGGGGCCTGGGCTGTTCCCCTCCCCGCTGCCCCCAGCTCCTGAGCCCCGGCCCCCAGCTGGCTGTCGTGTCGGGCTGCGTGCTGCTGGAGCTGACCCCAGGCAGCAGGTCCCCAGGCCCCATCCTGCTGCCCCGAGCGGTCCCTCCTCTGCCTCACCCGAATCTCCTTTCTCCTCTGTCGCCGTGTCTGGTCTGCTGCCTGCCCTGCCCCTCACCTGCTCCTTCTGCTTGGCTGCCGGGGCTCCAGCTTTCTCCAGACCTGACTAGGCTAAAGGAGAGATGCGTCAGGACTAAGAGAGACATCCTGGCTCTAAGAGTTGGGGGGAGAGACATGCAGGAGCTGAAGCACAAGTGCGATTGTAAGGTACCGTCTGCCTGTCCCTCCTGGTCCCGGGGCGCCCGGGGCCTTTCCTGCTGCTTCGGGGGCCGCGGGGAGGGGGGTGCCTCGAGCCCCGGGCCCTGTCGGCGCCTCGCACCTGTGGCCTTGGCTGACGCCGCCGGCTGGCTTGCTCCTGTCCACATCCTCACTTTTCTTTCTCCCCACCCTTCAGCGACCCCTTATCCGTCTAGGGGAATTCCTGGGTGGGCTCTCAAACTTCAGGGCCCTCAGAATCCCCTGGGTGCTTTGAAAAACACACATTCCTGAGCTCCACCTGCAAAGAGCCTGATTCTGCCAGTCCGGGCCAAGGCCTGGGAATCTGCAAATGGGATGACTCTGGCTAGGTGGGTCTGGGTTACACCTTTAAAGTGTGACTGTTGTTGATGCTTAACATTCCTCGTGCTCTGAGCCGTTCAGAGAGCTCCCGGGTTAGGAGGCCAGAGCGAGAAGCCTCAGCACTGCTCCTTAGCTGGGACTGCTGCTTCAGCCTAAGGGTGATGCTGCTGGCGCCCGTGGATCCTACTCACTGCACCTGCTGTGCGCCGTGGGCTCTGCAGGCCTGGATCTGAGTCCCGGGTCTGCCCCTGCTCGCTGTGTGGTCCTGGGCGGCTTCTTGGCCTCTCTGAGTTCCGGTTTCCTTGCCCGTGAGACGGTGGCAGAAACAGTGCCGGCCCTGGGGGGTATGAGCTCAGACCAGTCCCGTGCCCAGTGCCGTGCTGGGCGCCGCCCCAGAGCTCAGAGCGTGCTGACTGATGTTACGTGTGTGTCTGACCGTTTTCTCCCCGGGCACCCGGGAGGCCACCATCCTACCGCTGTCGTTAGCGTTAGTGAGGCTGGTGAGTGGCTGGTGGTCACAGCAGCGGTCAGCAGCTGAGCCGGGACTCGAGCCTGGGTCTGTAGGAGTCAGAGCCTGCTCGCCCTTCGTCCTGCGGCCTAGCCCAATCCTCAGAACCGGAGGTGTCTCTGGAGAAGTGGGAGAGGCGCTTTTAAGGTTTGCAGGTCCCTTACTCAGAGCCCCTCTGAGAGCCTGTGCTGGGGGCGGGGGCAGGTGTGACTTCTCAGGGGGCCTCAGCCCAGTGGTGGCAGAGAGCACGTGGAGGGTGGTGTGTGGCCTGGGTGCTCTCCCGGCCTGACCCCCGAGTCGGCCCCGGGCCGGCCCGTCCTCAGCGCCGTGCGATGGTGGAGGTGGCAGGGTGACCCAGCGATGCCTCTTGCGTATAGGCCTGTTGCTCTATTTTTGCCCAGGAAGGGCTTCTGATGGTTCCCCCAAAGACCACTTCGGGGGTTTCTAGGGCAGACCCCCAGTTCCTGTCTCAGGACAGAGACCTCCATCTGGGAGTCATGACCCCCCAGTGGAGGATGGGCATCTCTGTGCAGTTTCTGGGGTCAGTGTCTGTCTCTCTCATTAGATTCTCACAGGCACGTATGGTACCCCCGCTAGTCTCTCCAAAAGGCCGAGAATCGCTGCTCTAGAATCGAACCATTTAGATGCAGGGAGCGGCCCGGGAACTTCCCTTCCCTCCCCAGCCCCACGCCAGCCCCCAGTGGCTGTTGGTTATTTCCAGACAGTCGCCTTGTTCTGAAAGGTTACCGTCCTGCCTGCAGCCTCAGCATCCACTGGGAGTTCAGCAAGCTTTCCTGGCCCAGACCCTCGAGAAGTGCCAGGGCTCCTGCCATGGGGACCAGGAGGTGGTGTGGAGGATGGTGACAGTGAGAGCAGATAGAACAGGGGCCCCCAGATGAGTGCTCCCCACTTTCAGCAGAGAGCTTCAGGGAGGAGGGGTTTCCCAGATCTACACTGTCCATTGTGGTGGCCACGTGCCTCTTCACGCTTAAGTTAATTAAAATTAAGTATCACCGGGACTTGCGGTCCTCTGTCGCACCAGCCAGCTCTCGAGTGCCCCGTGGTGACATGTGGCTGGCAGCCGCCTTGCTGGGCAGCGCGGTTGCCTTGCAGAAACTTCCAGCACTGGCCGTGCACTGGGGAAGCGGCCTCGCTGGGGGGCGAGGTCTCCGGGCTGAGGGGACCATAGCTCTGTGTGCCGGTGAGGCTGCCACCCCCGTCCTGGGCGTGTGCCCGCCCGGGGAAGCTGCACCCAGCCTCCCCGGTTCCCAGGCAGAGGCTCAGCAGAAGCCTGGCTGTCTGGGTGGGGTGGGGGGGGTGCCCCAGTGGGATGGAGGGAGCCCCTGTGGGCGTTGTTAGCTGTGAAGGGAGCCTGGGGACTTGTGCTGCCCGTCTACTGTCGGCGTGCTCACCTGCACCCTGTCTGTTCAGTCTCAGGCCCTGGCGGGGCTCAAGGGGGAAACTGAGGCTCGGGGAGGTTGAGTGTCTCGTGCAGGGTCAGGCGGCCAGGGGGCGGCAGGGCTGGAACTTGAGCCAGGCCTAGGACTCCAGGCCTCGAGGCTTTTTGCCATGTCGCACCGTGTCCTTAACTGGACCCCAAGGGAGAAATCTGGGTGAGGAAATCCTCTTGCCCTGAGAGGGTGACCCCAGGGAGGCCCCCCATGACGTGAGCCCCTTCCCTGGAGGCCTTGGGGTGGCCCCGCCCTTGGCCTCAGCTGCCAGCACCCTGAGGGGGGAGCCGCTCTGGGCTCCCCACATGTGTAGCCCGGCCCAGCGGCCCTGGGTGGTGGTGGGTGTCCCCAGGCCTGCCCCGCATCCCTGACGAGCCCCTCTGCCTCTGCCCAGATGACGCAGCTCATGAAGGCAGCCAGGAGCGGGACGAAGGACGGGCTGGAGAAGACGAGGCTGGCCGTCATGCGCAAAGTGTCCTTTCTGCACAGGAGGGATGTCCTGGGTGAGGCACCGGGGGCAGGCGGGGCCGGCGGCGGGCGGGGCGAGGTCGCCGGGTGTCTGGGCGCCTCTGATGGGGGGGCCTGGGCCTGGTCCCCACAGGCGCCAGCTTGTTTCCCAGGCTCCGGCAGGCGGGCCCTGTCTCTCCTGGGGACCGTGGGCCTCTCCCTTCAGCGTCCCTGCCCTGGGCCTCCTGCCTCTCACACTCACCTGGCCTCATTGCTTTTTGTTTCAGTATTTATTATCTGGCTCGGCTGGGTCTTAGTTGCGGCACGAGGGATCCTCGTTGAGTCCTGTGAGGTCTTCCTCTCAGCGAGCTGGACCTTTTTTCAGTTGCGGCTCCTGGGAGCTGTAGTTGGGGCTTGCAGGATCTAGTTCCCTGCCCAGGGACCGAACCCTGATCCCCAGCCTGGGGAGCACAATGTCTTAACCGCTGAGCCACCAGGGAAGTCCCTCCTGACCTCATCTTTGAATGTGCCTTTGTCCACTCACCCCTCTCTAATCCCTGCTGAGTGCCCTGCTCCATGCTGAGTGCAGGGACGCTGTTAGCTGAGTTGCCTCCAGGAGCGCCTGGTACACTGCGGGAGGTGGGCGTGTCAACAGGAAGTGACCAGCTGCTCGGCCGGGTACCATGGCCGGAGCCTGGGGGAAGTGAGTCTGGAACGTGGGAATGAAAGATCGGGGCTGAGAGCAGAGGAGAAGGGGACCCAGGTCCCTCGGGCAGGGCACGGGGGGAGGACCGGCGCTCCTGGCCGAGGAGCCGCTGGAGGTGGGGAGGACGAGACGGTCAGGAAGTCAGCATTCGTGGAGCGACTGCTGGGATGCCAGGCGCTCTGCTAAGAGCTTTACAGCTTCTCATTCAATCCTCATAAGCACCAGACCGGTGCGGAGGGCTGTCCTGTTCCCACCTGGACATGAGGGAACAGATACAGAGTGGGTGAGTGTCTTGCCGGGGGACACACAGGCGTGGAGGGGATGGAAGAGGCTTCCTCTGGCTGGGGTGAGGCCGGGGGTGAGGGCTCAGGCCTGGTGAGCACAGGCGTCCACGCCAAGGGGGACGGTGAGGCCCCGCGCCCTCCTCAGGGCCCGGTGAGCACAGGCGTCCACGCCAAGGGGGACGGTGAGGCCCCGCACCCTCCTGAAGTCTGTGCACGTGGGCCTCCCTGTGGCTCGGCTTCCTCGTCTGTACGTTGGGGCTGATCGGGCCTGTGTGTCGGGGGCCCTCGGGGGGATGACCGAACGGTACGTGGGAAGAACCCAGCACAGCTGCCCGCCCCGCGCGGCAGGCCTTCTTCCTGGCAGAGCCCCAGCAAGCAGGCGTTTGGTGCTGGGACAGCGTCTCGGTGACCTGGCTACCGCCCTGGCGCCACGGCCTCCTGGCCTTGCCTGGTCCTTCCCCTCATCTGTGAAACGGGCTTAATCCCGCCACGGCATGTGCTGCAGGAGGCCCCGGCCCCGATCAGGGAGGGAACGCTGGGCCGGGACGGGGCGGGCAGGCTGGCTGGCCGGAACGGTCCCTGGTCGCCCTCCCCACCCCGCCTGCGAGCCCGGAGCCTTTCCTAAAGTGACCCTCCCACCAGAGGCGTTATTAATAGCCGCGGCCGGCTCGAATCACCGGCCAAGAATGTTCCCCCGGGGCGCGTGGGGGAAGAGGAAGCCGCGGGCTGGGCGGCCTGGCTGGGTGCGGGGCCGGGCCCAGGGGGCCATGTGGGCTGGGCAGGGGGCCCTCCCCCGCGCCCACCCCCCCACGGCCGGACGCGGCCCGTCCTCCTCCTCCTCCTCCTCCGTCTCCTGCTCAGGTAAGGCCCGCCAGCCTGTCCCTGCCCCGCCCCGCCCCGGGCACCTTTCCTCCCGCTGCCCCGGCGCCGCCTCCTGCCGCCCCGGCTGCTGACCCGGCTCCCAGGGCCGCAGGCCGCAGGGCCCCGTGTCCCCGGGCCCGTGTCCGCCACTCGTGGGCCGCGCTCTGCCTGGCTGCCTCTCCGCCTGAGCCTCTGTCTGCCCGGCTCTGCCCGTTAGGAGCCGCCCTCACTTGCGTGCTTGTTCCCTGCTGGACCCCAGCTGAGCCTTTTCCCGTTTGGATCTCTTTTTTGTGGGGGGGAGATGAAAACACAGAGCCAAACAGCTTGTTCTCAGGGCTTGCATTCTTCCCTCTTTCCGGCGTCCAGAGAAAACTATTTTCAGTGCCTGGTGATGGGGACACGGGCGGCCTGGCCTCTGGCAGGCAGAGGCGGGCGGCCCTGAGCAAGGGCAGGGACTCGGCAGGGTGGGTCCTGAGAGCTGCGCCCCTGCGGCCCTCTCCCCCCTCGCTCCCTCGGCCCTCGCCTCCTCGTCCGGGCGGGCATCCCCCAGGGGATGTGAGGAGGGCCGTCACCCTCCGAGCCGCTCCGAGGAGCCGCTCGTCCCAGGACGCTGGTCTGCGGGGGGTGCGGCTCCGGCTCCTGGAGTCTGAGCAGGTGCGTCCTTCTCGCCCGGCACGCGTCACCAGCCCACTTCCCTTTCCAGGTGACTCGGAGGAGGAGGACATGGGGCTTCTGGAGGTCAGCGTTTCGGACATCAAACCCGCAGCCCCGGAGCTGGGCCCCATGCCAGATGGCCTGACCCCGCAGCAGGTCTGTGGGGGCGTGGGTGTCCCCAGGGGGTGGGACAGTGGGTCCCAGCCTGCTGCCTGGGACCGCGCCCGGCTGGGTGTGAAAGGGGAGGCGACGGTCAGTGGCAGAGCCCAGCTGGGAAGGGGCCTCCTGGGATCCCACTCGACCCGCCGCACAGGCTGGCCACACTGGACCCTGTGGGTTGGCGCTGCTGTGCCGGGTGGGGCGGGGCTGCCCCTGGCACCCTCGCCGCCCAGCCCCGAGACCACCAGAGCGGCTTCTGCAAAAGGACGAAGGTGTCTGAAGAAAAGGCCTGCAGTCAAGAGAGGGCTGGGCAGCATCGAGCTCACCCAGCTTGGAGGGGACCCTGGGGTGCCTGGCCCCCTGTCTGCCATCTGTCATCAGCTCAGACCCCAGAGTCACTGCGGGTTTCCCAGGAGCCTGGCTCCTGGGTGTGTCTTCCTCCTCCTGGAGGGTCATATTGAGATCGGGGCACCCGTGCCCTGGGACCCTGTAGCAGAGCCATGACTGAAAGCCAGCCCTCCCCATGGCTGGTTTTCCCCTCCCCGAGGCGGGGGGGTGACCCCCCTACCTCCCTCTGGTCACGAGGACTCTGAGCAAGACGCATCGGGGAGGCAAACACATCGAGCGATTGGCTGGTTTGGCGTTGGCAGGACATCCTGACGTCGCACCCCTTTTGAAAATGAGAGATTTGGCCACACCTCTCGTCTCGGGAGCCTGTCTGCCTCCTTCCTTCCCTCTTTCTCCTACTGGGGCCCTGGCAGCATCAGGGCGGTGGCCCCCAGCCTCATCCCCTGTGCAGTGAGTCACCATCAGAGCTCAGAGCCGGGCGGGACCCCAGCCCGCCCGCCCAGAAGCCGGGCTTCCCCTTTCTGGTGTCAGCCAGGTCGGGAGCCTCTTGCATTTCTTGCAGAAGCGATGTTGATTGCTCCAGGCCAGTGGCTCTCATGGAGGTGATTTTGCCTCCCAGGGGATGTTTGGCCACGTCCGGTGATGCTTTGGTGCTCACAGCTGGGGGTGGGGCCCCTGGAGTCTACTGGAGAGAGGCCAGGGGTAGTGCTGGCTGCCTGTGGGGCATAGGACCGCCCCCCACGTCAGCAGGCGGAGGCTGAGGGCTGCTCTGGGCACCCCTGGGGACCGGGAGTCCTGGACAGAGCGTCCGTTCGCAGGGCAGCTTGAAGGGCGTCAGCTGGCTCGTCAGACAGCCTGGGGGGCACAGTCAGGTCCAGGCCAGGCACAGGGGTGGGAAGAGAGGCATAGGATGCCCCAGCGCGGGGAGGGAGGAGGCAGATGGTGGGGGGAGGCACCTGCACCGCCGCGCTCAGGACGGCTCGGGGGCATGGTGGGGGTCCGTCACCCTCCCGGCCCCGGGCCAAGACACCACTCACCTACGACACCTTTCATAGGCCCTGTCCCAGCTTTGCTGCACAATGGGGTCACGCGGGAGGCTTTAAAAAGCCCCGCTAGCCAGGTGGCACCCCAGAGCAATTCAGTGTCCGGGGTGGAAGCCACGTGACTCCAGTGTGCAGCAAAGGCCCCCACCCTCGTGTGGTGCTGTGTCCACATGAGGGTTTCCTGAGTGGGCACTGGTTGGGCTGCCCCTGGGGGAGGCACTGATTTGGGCTGAGAGATGGGGGGAGAGGGGAAGGGAAGGGCTGGGGTGTTTAGCCTGAAGCAGAGTCCACTTGAGCGGGTGGGAGGACACGCTCAGGACTGTCTCCTGGGAGAGGGATCGGTTAAGGATTGTATCTGTAAGTGGCGGGAGCTGAGATTTCAGTTCTGTCTAAGAAGGAGCTCTGTACAAGGGTGGTCCAGAGATGGAGGCCTCCCGTCCCGTGGAGGAGCGAGGTGGCTCCCCACCCCTGGATGGGCGTGCACAGGCTGGGAAGGACCCTGCAGTCCCCGCGTCCCCGGGCCTCATGCTGCCATCTGGGGAGCACGGGCATCTGTCTAGGGTGGGCCGCGGCTCTGGGAGGTGGTGCCAGCCTGCCAGAATCCAGTGGTCCAGGAGTGGCTCTGGGAGAGACGACTTCCTGCTGCTCCGCTGGCTGTGACGCCTTTCCCCGTCTCCGGGTGCCCCACCCACGGCTGGTGCTCGCCCGTGCTCCGTTGGCATCGTTGGCACGGGTGCTGACTGTGCTCTCTGCCTGAGCAGGTGGTCCGGAGGCACATCCTCGGCTCCATTGTCCAGAGCGAGGGCAGCTACGTGGACTCTCTGAAGCGGGTCCTCCAGGTACGACTCCAGGGGCGTGTTACAAGGAGTGTTTGGGGGCTGTGGGCAGTTTTCAAGGGGAGGCACCAAAAGCCAGTGTTTCTATGGGGACAGCAGGACCTCCGAATGGGGAACACTGCGAATTTCAGGTGCCTCAGTGTACGGGATGACTGGCTGAAATGACATTGGGGTTCAGTGAAATGAGATCTGTCCCGTGGGCCTGCACTCTGTCGTGTCTGACTCTGTGACCCCGTGGACTGCAGCCCTCCAGGCTCCTCTGTCCATGGGATTCTCCAGGCAAGAATACTGGAGTGGGTTGCCATGCCCTCCTCCAGGGGATCGCCCTGATCCAGAGATCTAACTCAGGTCTCCTGCACTGCAGGCAGATTCTCTACCATCTGAGCCCCCAGGCCTGGACCTGAGACTGTGGTCCCTCTGGTGCCCTGAATAGATCCTGCGTCCTCATCCCTCTGGGATCCCTGGGGCGGGGCCACAGCTCCCCATTGTCTCAGAGCTCCTGGGATGGGGTGTCAGGCTCACCCCCTCCCTTGCCATCAGAATGCCCAGGAACTGCTGAGTAGAGCCTTGCATGACCAAGGTGTGCCGACCTGGTCTGTTTGGTTTACATTCCTGAAACCGTGACTGTTTGGGGATGCTGTGGGCTGTCTGTAAGGACCCCGGGGAGGGGCATTGTTGGGGTGGGAGAATGCTCGGAACACTCTTGCTTCCCCTGCCGAGTCTGGATCCACAGTGGAGGGGCCCAGACCCCGGGCAGGTGGAGATAGGATACCCCGTGTTTCTGACAAAGCCGGCTAGAGACCGTGGCCCTCGGTCTCGCTGTGACATCGCTGCCACTGCTCCGTCGGGCAGACTGGCTCAGTTGTGGGCAGAGCCGACCCGGGCCCGCCCCTGGGGCCTGCCTCCATGGCGCCCCTGCAGGCAGCGTCTCCCCCAAACCCAGCTTCCCACCGAAGTCACGGGGGTGGGCTGTGGACGGTTGGAAGGCTCAGGAGTGTTCGGTTCGCGGAGACCGGTCCAGGCCGGGTGAGGAGCGCGGGCCGAGTGCTCCCGGCGGCAGGAAGGTCCGCGGAGTCTGCTCTGCCGGCCCCGGGGTCCCTGAGGGCAGTGGGGGGCGGCTCTTGGGGGCTCACCCGCCCGCCCGCCCCTGGCTGCAGGATTACCGCAACCCCCTAATGGAGATGGAGCCCAAGGCGCTGAGCGTGCGCAAGTGCCGGGCGGTGTTCTTCCGCGTGAAGGAGATCCTGCACTGCCACTCCATGTTCCAGATCGCCCTGTCCTCCCGCGTGGCCGAGTGGGACTCCACCGAGAAGATCGGCGACCTCTTCGTGGCTTCGGTAGGCGTCGCCAAGCCCCGCCGGCCCGTCGCGGCGCACACCGCGGCCCTCACGGGCCGTCTTTCAGGCCAGCCGCCTGCCTCCCTGCTCCTGGTGTCCACGCCAGCGGGGTCGAGGGTGGCAGCGCCCGAGTCGGCCGGCTCACTGCTCGCCCCCAGGAGGCTGGCCGCTGTGGGCAGCCACCTAGCCCATCTCAAGTCTCCCGCGGAGCGCTCACACCGGGCAGGGCCCGGCCCCGGAGGACCCCAAGGGGTGTCAGGGCAGGCCCACTGGGTCGTGCGCCGGGAGATCTGCCTGTTCCCAGCGCCCCCTGCAAAGTCGCGCGCTCTCTGGGCTCAGCTCCCCATCTGTGGAAGGAGGGGATTGTAGGTTTCTGAAACGGAGGTCTGTGGGCCCCAGAGAGATGCCTGGGGTGAGAGAGGGTCGGGATGGCAGAGCCCGCGCTGATGTCTTTTAGGCAGTTGGGCTAAAAGGCAAAGAGTACTGTTGTGAGAGCTCAGCACCCTGGTCGGCGTGCCTGCGGGCCCGGGCTCGGCCGGGAGCCCCGTCCTCGGCGGCGGGGCGCGGGGGTGGGGGCGCGGGAGCCCCGCCCTCGGCGGCGGGGCGCGGGGGTGGGGGCGCGGGAGCACAGGCCCGCCGCCCCCTCTGCCCGCAGCCCAGCTCCCGGGCCCCGCCGCCTGCCCCCGTGACCTGGGGTCTGCGCCTCTGCGCCCTGTCCGCGGCCCTCACTGGGCGACAGGTTTCCTGACCTCCGGGCTAGCCGAGAGCCCCCGGGAGGGGAGGGCTGTGGCCCGCGGGGAGCGCGGGCCGCCGCCCGCCCGCCGCCTCGCCTGCATGTGACCCTCCCGTGGCACCCCTGCCCGTTCCAGTTCTCCAAGTCCATGGTGCTAGACGTGTACAGTGACTACGTGAACAACTTCACCAGCGCCATGTCCATCATCAAGAAGGCGTGTCTCACCAAGCCCGCTTTCCTCGAGTTCCTCAAGGTGGGCCTGCGGGCGACCTGGGCCCCTGCCGACGGAGCCCCGCCGTGCGGGGGCGGGGAGGCTGCTCAGCAGGCAGGCCGCTGCCCGCCGTTTCTCTGGTCCAGGCACCTCTCTTCTTTCCTCTGGGGCATCCCCAGTCCCCTGGGAGAAGATGAGCCTCTGCTCCCCGCCCCCTAAGGGGGTGATGAGAATTAGAGGGTTCATACGCCACTTGGGACCTGGAGCTTTGACAGGAAGAAGGGGAGCCGTGACATCTTGCTGATAGGGGCTGGGCTTGGGCGGGCCTTCAGGTGGGCCTCGGCACTGTGGGGTCACGTGGAGTAGCCGTGGGGCCTCGTCCCCACCCCCCTCTCCCTAGAACACGGTCATAATTCAGACGGAGACCCTGCCCAGCAGAGGGCACAGGTGGGCCAGGACCCCCAGCCCCAGAAGACAAACCCACAGTCCAGATCCCGGAGGGTCGGGGCTTTCTCAACGGGGTCCCATCTGACGCGGGTCCTGGGGGGATGGTGGGGTTGAAACAGAGGGAGACAGGAGAGTGTGTTCCGGGTACCAGGGCGGTGGGCAAAGGTCAGAGGCAAGTCCAGCTGGATCCTGGGGGCACGGGGTGCCTGGGAGAGAGGCGCAGAGCTGCTGAGTTCAGTTTGGGTAGATCTGGGCCTCAGGCCCAGGGCCTGGGATGTCATAGTGCAGGCAGTGGGGCGCCGCTGAAGCTTCGGCTGGACGCAGATGGAAGCGGAGGCCGGTGGGGACGTCCCTGTGTTGCAGGGGCCAAGGTGTCAAGGTGGCAGATGTGTGGGTGGCGTGGTGGAGACAGAAGGGAGACCCAGGACAGTGAGAAGCCCCGTGCCCAGCCCGCCCCGGCCTGGGCCCATTCACCTTACTTTACGTGGAGGGAAAGGTAGTCTCAGCTCCTTCCAGAGGCCTGACCTCTTGAACAAATGGCTGAAGGTCCTAGTTATTACGCTTTTAGCCCAGAGACCTTAACGTGGTTCTCCAGGCCCCCGAGGCTGCGGGGCTGTGCAGAGGGCCCCCGTGGAGGCAGGGACCCCTGGCTGCAGACCCAGGGGCCTCCCTCGGGCCCGAGGCCGGCCAGCGTCCTGGGGAGAGGGACCCAGGTCTGCACGCTGTGTGCGGGGGCCGGGCCCCCGCGTGGGGCGCGCAGTGAGTGACGCCGCCTCCCCCAACAGAGACGCCAGGTTTGCAGCCCCGACCGCGTCACGCTCTATGGACTGATGGTGAAGCCCATCCAGAGGTTCCCGCAGTTCATCCTCCTGTTGCAGGTACCGCAGCGGGTTCTGGCAGCCGCTGGGGTGGGTGCGTGCCTGGAGGGGTCGGGGTGGGAGGCCTGGCTCTGTCCCGTCACCCACAGCCCTCGCGTAGGCCGTGCAGGGTGGGCAGGGTCTCGGCCCCCAGCCCCGCTTTCCTTGCCCCTGGGGTGGAGCCCATTCAGTGCGACCACGTCCTTTCCCTCTGCCGGTGGGAACCCGGTGACGGGTGCGGACAGGCGCCCACGGCGGTGGGGGGGCACATGGAACCCCAGTGCCCTCGGGGCCCCTGGCAGGGGGGAGAGGCCTGTGAGGGCTTTGGTCTTGGTGCTCCAGGCTTCCCGAGGGAGCATCAGCCCCCCAGTTGCTGGGGGTCCACGGGCAGGAGGTGAGCCCCCCGAGGGCCCCAGCAGCGTCTTTCCCCGTCCTCAGAGCAGACAGCAGCAGCAGTGGGTGTCGTCTCCGCACTCTCTCTGTCACTGGGGCCGGGCTGGGTCCCCCCAGTCGCGTGACTTCACGTCCTCACGCGGTGGCTGTTTCTCCCCGGGCTCCCGGCTGGGTCCCTGTCCGGCCGGGTCTCCGCGGGGACCATAGAGGCTGAGGGTCTGCTGGGGTGGGGGTCTCAGTCCTGGCTCCCCCGGGCCCCACAGGACATGCTGAAGAACACCCCCAGGGGCCACCCGGACAGACTGTCGCTTCAGCTGGCCCTCACGGAGCTGGAGACACTGGCCGAGAAGCTCAACGAGCAGAAGCGGCTGGCCGACCAGGTGGCCGAGATTCAGCAGCTGACCAAGAGCATCAGCGACCGCAGCAGCCTCAACAAGGTGGGCGCGCCCCCGCCCGCCCCACCGCCCGCCTCTCAGCACCTCCGGGCAGCCGACAGGGGTGGCTCCTCGATCCCCTGGGGTCTGCAGGCCTTACCTTGAGGATGAGTCTTTTTTTCTCCCCTAACATTTATTTATTTATTTTGACAGTGCTGGGTCTTTGTTTTCCTGTGGGCTTTCTCTGGTTGCGGCGTGGAGGCTTCTTTTGTTTTGGGGCACGGGCTCTCGGGGGCTTGGACTCAATTGCCCTGTGGCCTGTGGGGTCTTCCCAGACCATGGGATGTCCCATGCATCGGCAGGCGGCTTCTTAGCCCCTGGACCTCCAGGGAAGTCCCGAGGAGCAATCTTGACTAGACCCCCTCCTGGCCACCCTCACATTGGTTTACCACTCAGGCATTGTTAGGATAAAAGCTGATTTTATTTATCTGTAGAATTGCCAGTAAAGACGCCAGAAATGATAGCCTAGTATTATGTTTAAACCACTGGGCTGTGGAGGCTGAGTCTGGGTGTGAATCCAGATTTTGCCACTGGTGTTTACTGTGGGGACTCACCTAACTCTCTGAACCTCAGTTGCTTCCTCTGAAACCTTCCTCTGAAAGGAGTTGGACAGCGCCTGACCCTCAGGGCTTCTGCACGGCCAGGGAGAACACTGGCAAAGTGGCAGTTAATGCACCTTAATGCACCTTAATGCAAGGTGGCTGTTGTCATTAGTAGTGTTAGGTTTTAAGAAGAAAGACCAAAAAAAAACACAAATCCATGCCATATTTTGAGATTGCAACTTAGAAACATTCTAGCAAAAAAAAATCTTAACTTTCAGATGAGTCTATTAGAGAACCCTGTTTTTTTAACTATTATTTATCTATTTTGTTTTTGGCTTCGATGGGTATTCTTTGCTTTTTTGTGGGTTTTTTTTTTTTTTTTAAATTTGCAGCAAGCAGGGGCTACTCTTTGTTGTGGTGCATGGGCTTTCATTGCAGGGGCATCTCTTGTGGGGCACAGGCTCTGGGCTCTTGGACTTCAGTAGAGACAGCTCACAGGCTCAGTGCTCGCGGGTCGTGGGCCCTGGGACACGCAGGCTTCAGTAGCTGTGGTTCCAGGGCTCGGTGGCCATAGCTCGTGGGCCCTGGGACATGAGGCTTCAGTAGTTGTGGTTTGAGAGCTCAGTGGTCATGGCTCGTGGGCCCTGGGACACGCAGGCTTCAGTAGCTGTGGTTCCAGGGCTCGGTGGCCATGGCTCGTGGGCCCTGGGACATGAGGCTTCAGTAGCTGCGGCTCGTGGCCCTGGAACGTGGCGCTCAGCAGCTGTGTACAGGCTTCGGTTCTCCCAGGCGTGTGGAGTCTTCCTGGGCCAGGGATTGAACCTGTGTCCACTGTGTTGGTAGGTGGATTCTGGGAGGTATCTAGAGAACCCTGTTTGTAAAACACAGAGAGAATCAGTCACCTCCTGGAGTCACCCGCCGGGGAACTTTAGTCCTGTGTCTCCTTGGCGGCTTGTGGCACACACATCTTGCAGCTGCACCCACATCTGGGAGGTCCCCCACCCCAGGCTCCACCCCCTCTCACTCAGTAGAGGGTGGGATTTGGCCCTGATGGTTTGCGGGGAGGTGACCACACCCCAGGGCACTTGGCAAGAACAAGAGTTGTTCTCTGGGGAAGGGACAACGCGTAGGGTCACAGGAAGGTGTTCAGATCATCTGGGGGAGAAACTGGGAGCCTCCTGGCTCTGTGCCCCCAAAAGCAGAACTAAGGCTGGTGACTAAGGTCAGCAGGATTTCAGCCACAGGGGAAGAGCTTTCTGATGTTTGCCGAGTGTCACCATGAGCACCGCGGCCCTCCCCACGTGGCCCGCGCTTCATAGCCTGTGATGGTCTCTGACCTCCACTGTTGTCTCCGACCTGCACTGCAGGCCCGAGGAGCAGGGCCAGGACAAGGTGTTCTAAGCTTCGGGGTCCTGCATCTTAAGACGGTCCCACCTCAGGCCAAATTCAGGCTGCACAAGTGTACTCAGGCCCACACAGGACTTTTAAGAAGATGAAATTGGTTGCCAGCATTTAGAAATGGAGAAGTGTTCCACAAAATTTAGACTTGTTCCTCTTCTCGAAGGGTTGGAAGAGCTGGCATCCTGGCCCACCTTCTCACGTGGGGCCGGTCACCTAAGCAGCAGGTGCCCGCACCCCTCAGCCCCCATCCGGGTCTTTCCCCTGAAGTTACCTGCTGGCAGCTGGGTTTGCTCCACCCGTTCCAGGAGGATAGAGCCGGGAGGAAAAGATAGGGCAGGAGACGAGCCCCCTCCCGGGGTGCCTCGTCCAGGGCTGCCCAGGGTGGGCCTCCGGGGTGGGGGCGTCCTTCCTCCCCACCTCCGGGCGGGGCTCCCCCAGCCTTCTAACTCGGAATGGCTCTCAGGCACGCGACTTGGGCCCAGTCACAGCCGCCGTGTGGCGTCGAGGGTCTCTACGCTTGAGAGGCGTCGTCTTCTGTCTCCTGCTTGCGCTCCGCGTCTGTGACCGTGAGGGCTTCTCTTGCTTCGGCTCACACACCTGTGCAGTCACCTGGGGGAATTCTCTTTAAACCTCGGCTCGGGAAAGAGCTGTGCTCCCCTCCCCTCTGGCCACTGGGGGACACCCAGGCCGTAGGAGCAGTGGCCTCTGGCTGGAGGTCAGGGAGACCCGTCTGGTGTCGGTAGATGGACTGAGCCTGGGCCCGAGTTCCCCATCGTCACGTGGCCGTGCTGGATGTGTTCCGGGTGGTGGCGGTGGCTGCACACCGCGCCCTCCCTGGCCAGGGGAGCTGGCCCCCGGCGGGGTCGCGGCCGCTCTGAGCTGGCGCTGTCCCCTCGCCGCCCGCCCCCCCAGAGAGAAGTGGAAACGAAACCGGGCGTGCCCAGAGCGGAACCGTGCCGGCTGTTTCACAATGTGCCCGCTCAGGACCTGGCTGCAGGGGCTGCTTGTGCAATATCCGAGCGTTCTTTTGTCTTTTTCTTTTTTATCTGCTTAACTGGCAGGAGGGTGGTTGCCAGAAGGCAGGGGACTTTCCTGTCCCACGTTCCGGGTCACGGCACACGTGGCTGTCTTTTCTGGGGCCTGCTATCCTCAGGGTCCCAGCGGTGTTTTCACAAGCCGGTGGTCAGCTGGGTGGTGGAAGTTGTGAGGTGGGGGAGACCAGCCTTTGCAGTCATGGGGGACCCCTGGGGGACCCTGAGTTTTTTTTTTTGTGCATGTGTTGGGAGCCACGGGCCTTTCCCTGACTCCTCTCACCCCCAGCCTGGAGCGGGCGGGTGTGCGGCCAGCTGCCTCGTGCTGGAGACCGTGCATGTGGCCCAGCTCCAGCCTGCCCTGCTGCTCAGCCAGCAGGGGGCCTCGGCAGGCCACTTTGCCATGGGGGTTTCTGTCCCCTCGCCTGGGGATGGGGGCCTTGGGACCCCCGAGCTGGTGAGAGGAGGCGTGGGCTCCCCAGTGGCATGCGGGGCTGCTCAGGGTTCCGCGCTGCTGGGACAGACATGGCTCTTAGGGGCTGGCAGGGTGTTCTCTCCGGGAGAGGTTTTGGGGTGATCTGCCCTTTTCCTTGCGAGGATGGGGAGGACGGGGGTGGCTGTTGTGAGAATGTGCTTGGCTTTGGGAATGAACTTGGTCGAACACTCTTCTTCCTCCGCAAAGTCCCTTCTTCGCAACGACGTGTTTTCCGCGGGTCCCTGGCTCTGATGCCGGTCCCATGCTGGCTGCTGTCAGCCTGGGGTGGGCACACGCCTGCCCGGAGACGTGAAGGTCTTCAGCCTGGTCAGCGTGGTCCGAGGGCCGCCTTGCTGACCAGCGGAGCCCTCCCGGCCCCGCACGAGGCCTTCCGTAAGGTCAACAGGTCAGGGTGAGGAGCGGGACCTGCCTTCGGGCCAGGAGTCTGCCTGCTTGAGGCCGTGTGAGCCGTGGGGACAGGGGCCACCTGCGGGGTGTCCCACTGCGGGGTCGGCTCCCTAGGGCCAGCACTCAGGGGGCCCTGCATTTGGGTTAACTCTCTGCCATCGTTGTCTTGAAGTTCTTAATTCTGAGTGAGCCCCGTCCGGGGCTCTGTCGGTCGGGTAGCCAGTCACGCGTTTCCCTGGCGACCTGAGCTTCGGTGCCGTCACCTACGGGACAGCCGAGGAGGCCGAGGTGTGGGCAGGCGGCCCGGCACTGGCCAGAGGGCTCCACGGCGCGCCTCGGGGCCAGGGCGTGGCTCTGTGCCCCAGAGCTGTGCTGCCGGAAGGGATGGAGGGGGCTGGCGGTCAGTGCCTCTGGTCCCCAGGGGTGGAGGACGTGGTCCTGCCTCACCCCCACCTCTCCCGGTCGCAGTCCCCTTTGGGCGTGGAAGGACCATCCTGGGTATTTGGCGCAGTGATGTCTGCAGACCAGCCCGTGAGCGATGCTGGCGTTGACCTTGCCCTGTCTCCTCCCCTAGCTTCTGACCTCGGGCCAGCGGCAGCTGCTCTTGTGTGAGACGCTGACGGAGACCGTGTACGGTGACCGCGGGCAGCTGATCAAGTCCAAGGAGCGCCGGGTCTTCCTGCTCAACGACATGCTGGTCTGTGCCAACATCAACTTCAAGTAAGCTGGCCTGGCCATCACCCCCCACCCTGGGGACCCCTCCTGTCGCATCCTAGTCTGTCCTGGCCGGGGTCCTGTGTGAGCCCGGCTGAGGGCTCCAGCTGTCTGACTTCCTCTTCACCCCTCTTTGCCTGCTGGAATCCCGGTTCCCAGGAGGGCCCACGGCTGGCCACGGCTCAGAGTGGGCTCTTCTGGAGCTCTGGAACTCCTCAGAACGGAACAGCCTCCCGAGTTTTGACCACTTTGAAATCCAAGAGGGATTTCTTCCCTGTGTCCAGCCCAGATCCCAAATCCCTGCTGTAGCGTTGTCATCATCGTCATTATTATTTTTGGCTGCGCCATGCGGCATGTGGGGTCTTGGTTCCCAGACCAGGAATCAAACCTGTGCTCCCTGGGTTGGGAGCCAAGAGTCTTAACTACTGGACCGCTAGGGAAGTCCCCCAAGTCCCTGCCACTTTAGTCAGGTAGGTTTTCCTCCGGCCAGACTGCAGTGTTTTTAGCACAAGGCTTTGCCTTTCCCCCCTACTCCCTGCCAGAGCCTGGTTTCCTGGTTCTGGGTCAGAGGTTGCAGAAATGCCTGGGGCCAGCCCGCCGGGCCTGGCTGGAGTTGGGACTGGAGTCAGAGCCTTACAGTGGGACGAGGGCCATGCCTCAGGCCTGAGTCTGCAGACTCGTGGCCTGAGGGTTCAGTAGCCCTCCGGAAATCTTATGTCTGGCTCCTCTGGGGAATTCACAGAAAGATTGAGACATCCAACTTCTCTTGAAAATGGAAGATCCCACATTCTGGGCCCACACTGCCTGGGACCACATGGGCCTGTGTCTGGGCTATGTGAGCCCTTGACGGGGCTTCCCAGCTGACCGGGTCACCCCCATCTGCTGCTCGGTCCTTTGGGCGTCGGGGATCGTGACTCTTGACCCTGTGAAGGCCAGCGGGACGTTTCCAGCAAGGCTCTTAGCCCTGCCAGTGGAGGAGAACCTCACTCCTCACTGTCTGGCAGTGCTTCCAAAAGCTCCGGAAGCAACAGCTGGCAGCAGCACCCCAGACCCATGAGGAGAGTCACCCACAGTCAGGGGTGAACCCTGCCTGGCTCTCCCACACGCTCAGCCTCCGTGCCCTCGTCCGTCCGCCCGATTGTCCTTCAGTGTTTACTGGACCCTTACTTGGTGCCCGCTCGCAGGTCTGGGGGGACCCGGCCCTGGTAGGGGCCTCAGGCCAGGCAGCCTCTGACCTGAGTCGGTGCGATTCTGCTGACGACTCACCCCTTATGCGCTCACTCAGTCACCCTCTCATGTAAACACTGTAGTTTTTTTTTTGACTGCACCGTGTGCCATGAGAAATCTTACTTCCCTGACCGGGGATTGAACCTGAGCCCCCTGCACTGAGAGCATGGAGTCTCAACCGCTGGACTGCCAGGGGTGCCCCGAGCTCTGTGATTAAGTCCTGTCTGCACCCTGGCTCGTGCCGGTGCCGGGGATCTGACCGACACCTGCTCTGCCCTCCTGTTGCTGGGAGCTTCCAGGGCGTGAACGTGTGATGGGGGTGTTGAAAAGTGAAAGCGTTAGTTGCTCCGTCGTGTCCGACTCTTTGTGACCCCGTGGACTGTAGCCCGCCAGGCTCCTCTGTCCATGGGATTCTCCAGGCAAGGATGCTGGCGTGGGTAGCCATGCCCTTCTTCACAGGATCTCCTCCACCCAGGGATCCAACCAGGATCTCTTGCATTGCAGGAGATTCTTTACCTTCTGAGCTGCAGGGAAGCTGATGAGGGTGTGGTGGCCCACTTTTGGGGGATCATTTTGGGTAACTTGGGGTGAGTCGTGTGACCTGTCTGAACCTCAGTATCCTCTTGTGAAATAAGGCAGGCTTCCTAGCAGGGCTGTGGTGGGAATAGGGGGTGAAGGAAGGCTAGCGTGCGGCCTGGGGAGAACCACCCCATGTGGTCCCCCTCTGCCCTCACGTGGACTAGCCTGGCGGCTGCCCCGCAGGGGGTCTCAACACCTGCACAAATCGCTCAGCAACAATAACGACCCTTCTTGTCTTTTTCCTCAGGCCTGCCAACCACAGGTAGGGGCTCGAGGCTCGGGGTGGGCGTGCGCCTCTGGGGCTGGCCTGGGTGCCGACGCTTGCGCCTCGCCCGGCTGCCCGCTCCACCTGCTCGGCTGGGCCCCAGGGCTGTGCTGGGCTGCCAGGTGCCTGGCTGAACGGACGTGCGGGGGAGCGGCTCTGGGCTGACCCTGGGGCTGGTGCGGCAGGCTCTCCAGGGCCGTGTCCTCTGTCCCCGGCAGGGGCCAGCTGGAGATCAGCAGCCTGGTGCCCCTGGGGCCCAAGTACGTGGTGAAGTGGAACACAGCGCTGCCGCAGGTGCAGGTGGTGGAGGTGGGCCAGGAGGGCGGCTCCTACGACAAGGACAACGTGCTCATCCAGCATGCCGGCGCCAAGAAGGCCTCGGCCGCCAGCCAGGCCCAGAGTGAGTGCCCAACACCCCCGCCCCCCGCCCGGGCCGCCCGTGGGCACTTGGCCTGGAGACTTTTCCTGCTGTTTGTAGCTGTGCACACACACGCACCCGTGTCCCTACCCGAGTGTGCAAATGCAACACCCCCACAGTCACCCCTCCACCCCACCGCCCCGCCCACCCCAGCCCTGTACATGCTCATGCGCATGCACACGCATGCACACACAGGCGTGCACACGCAGTGACCTTGGATCCGAAAGCATGACCTCTAGGGCCTGCCTGGGCATTGCCTGCCTCCCTGTGGGACCGCAGTTTGCCCGTCTGTTCTGTGAGGGGCCCGGGTGGCCTGTCCCCCAAACCCCCAGAGCTCAGGCTCAGGGTGGCCTCGATCTGCCTGGATCCCCCTTCCCCACCCTGACTGTCCCCTCAGACTGTCCGATGACGGGGACCGTGAGAGCTGGGGGTGACCGGCTCCCCCGTCCGCCCGCTTCCTCCGTCTCCTGCTGCTGCAGGACCTCCTGGCTGCCCCCCCGTCCTGCGCGCCTCCCTCCTGGGCCGACTCTTCCAAGGGCATGCCACAGCCATATGTCACCCTGCACCTGAAACGCGCCGGTGGCTTCCCGCTGCCCTGGGCTGAAGCCCGGCGTCCTCACTGAGGCCCGCACGCCTGTCCCGGGGGCCCACCCCCCACCCTGCCTCAGCCCGCCCGCCCCCTCCCACTCCGGCCTCTGTTCCCGGGGGGCTGAGTGCCCTCCTGCCCCAGAGCCTTCTCCTGGCCTCGGCCCTTTTCCGCGTGTTCTCTGCTCTCCGGTCTTGTCTTGCTGCCGCTGTTCATCTCGGCTCAGGTGACACCTCCTCCTCCGAGAAGCCTTCCCGATTCCTTCGGGCCGGCCAGCTGCCGGTCCATGCTCTCAAGGCCCGGCTGTGTTTTCATCTTTACGGTGATGCTTTGGTTGCCGTCTCATCTCGCCCCTTGGTGTGACTGTGGCCCTGCGCCCGGGTGTGCGGTGGGTGTTAACACACGTTTGCCGAGTGAACAGAGGAGGTAACTGCAGGGAGGCAGGGGTGCCGTGACTCAGCCTCCCCACCAGCGCTGTCCTGCCCTAACCCTGGGGGTGCCTCTGAGGCAGGCGCTCGACGCACACTCTTGCCCTCGGGGGGCCGTACCCACTTCAGCCTCTGGCTGCCCCTCCCCAGGGGGCTGTTCTGCTTTCCTGGCTGGCTGTTTACAGAAGCCCCCGGGAGGGGCTCCCAGCCCGCCTGCCCGCTTCCGAGGCACCTCCAGCCCAGGTTCTGCTCCACTTTCCCGGGACCACTCGGACTTCTGCTCTGGGACCCCTCCTCCAACCCCTGTCTTATCTGTGACCGCGTTTCTCAAAGTATAGGGCTAGGGTGCCAGATCCCCTTCAAAGAGGAGAGAAGAAATCCTTGTTGAGCCCCAGTTGGCCTTGGATGAGATTTTATTATATTGTTATTCAAATATGTGCAGATCTAAGACTAGGTATAATATTAATAAACTTTTTACGCTTATATCCCTTGAACAACCATAACATCTAAACAGAATCACAAGCGGAATAGAAATGAAGCTACAAAACAATAAAATGCGAATTAGCAGCATTAGTGGAATGTGATGGATGGGGTTGTTTTGCTGGAATGAAGTCGCTCTCAGCATGCATGTGATTCTCTCATGGGCCGGGTTCTTTCGAGCTGTCTGCGCCTATAACCCTAAGGTGCCTCGTGTGGTCCCCGTTGCCCTCCAGCTCGTCCTGCTGGGGTCACCGCAGAGCGCTTCTCTGCCCTTCATTCAGTGGGAGCCTGTCTCTTACCGCCCACGCCCACCTTGCTCCATGGTCATTGCCTGCTGGCCAGCACGTGGCACCAAAGTCCACGTGGCTGCAAAGTCAGCAGTGCTGTCACACTGGCAGCAGGGCATGGATTTCTTCCTTCCTTCTTTTCTGAACACACCACGAGGTACGTGGGATCTTAGTCCCCGACCAGGGATAGAAGCCATGCCCCCTGCAGTGGAAGCACAGATTCTTAATCCCCGGAGCGCCAGGGAAGCCCAGGATGTGGCTTTACAGTCATTATATCCAGGTGACTGAGGGTGTGCACCTGTTTGTTAGATGATCGTGCCACCACCCTGCCCTGAGACTCCACGAGAGCCCAGCGTGGGTAACTGCGGCGTGGAGAACACAGCCGGCTTCCCTGGCCCCGTGTCTAGAGCCTCCCCGTCCGATCCTGCTGGGCACTCCTGCCGTGTTTCTCACTGCCCTCCCCCAGCTCCCCGATGCTGCAGCTGTATCATCCCCAGAGATCTGGGCGCTGTCACCCCATCCCGTCTCTGTCCCATCACCCTGATACCTCCCTCCCTAGTGCCTCCCACAGTCTTCTTAACTGGCTCCTCCCCCACCCCCCTGGGCTTCCCAGGCGGTGCTAGTGATAAAAAACCTGCCTGCCAGTGCAGGAGACGGAAGACACAGGTCCCATCCCTGGGGCAGGAAGACCCCCTGGAGGAGGGAATGGCAACCCACTCCAGTGTCCTTGCCTGGAGAATCCCGTGGACATAGGCACCTGGCGGGCTGCAGTCCACGGGGTCGCAAAGAGTCGGACTCGACTGAAGCGACCCAGCACACCTGCCACCCCGACCAGGTCATCCGCTCCACGAGAACAGGGACCTTGTCTGCCTCATGTGCCGCTTTCTGTCCAACGCGTACAGTCCAGCCTGCCATAGAGTGGGCTCTTAGAGCATCTGTGAGCTGCTTGCTGTTCACAGGTCCCTCGGCACGGCTGCATTCCTCTAAGGCGGTGCCTCCTGGCGCAGCTGGCTCTCAGTCTTCTGGTCTCCTGTGACCCTCTGCATAGGCTAAGTGTGGCCCAGACCCGAGGCGCTAGACTTTCCCCCCGACTGGATTGTCCCCGCTCGTAGACGAGAGCCTGGTAGCATTTCCTTCTGTATCTCTAGTGCCACATCCCCAGGGCGACAGCTCTTCTTTTTTTTTTTAAGATGTGTTTGTTTTATTTATGGCTTTGCTGCCCCCACGGGCTTTCTCTCCTGGCCTGAGCTGGGCTCCTCTCTGGCTGTGGTGTGCGGGCTCACTGCAGCAGTTTCTTTTGCGGAGCGCAGGCTCTGGAGCGTTGGCTCCGTACCTGTGGTGCACCGGCTCGGTTATCCTGCGGCTCGTGGGAACCCCCCGGACCAAGGATCCCACCGGGTCTCCTGCACTGGCCGGTGGACTCCCAGCTGCTGAGCCCCCCAGGAGGCGTGGCAGCCCCTCGCCACGGCCGTGAGCACCTGCTGGGGTTCCTGTTGGTGCCTTCCCCACCCATAGGGTGTCTCTCTGCCCAGATAAGGTGTACCTCGGGCCGCCGCGCCTCTTCCAGGAGCTTCAGGACCTGCAGAAGGACCTGGCCGTGGTGGAGCAGATCACCCTCCTCGTCAGCACGCTGCACGGCACCTACCAGGTACCGTCACCGGCCTGGGCTGGCCTCGGCCCCCCAGCAGTGCCCGGAGGTGCCCCGTCGCTACTGGGAGCTCGGCATGTGGTCTGTGGCTCAGGCGGAAGCTTTGGTTCTGGTTGAGCAGGGCCCAGTTGTGGGCATCGTTTTGTTGTGCTCTGTAAAGAGTCTGGTTTGTCCTGCAAGTGCCTTCCCAAGCCTCATCCCAGGCTGGGAGGGGGTGTCCCTTTCAAAGGAGGGGTGCTGGGGGGGCGGTCGGAACCAAGGCAGGGCGCCTGGGGAGTGGTGGAGTGCGGGGACCCCTGCTCTGCTCCCTCGCGGGCCCCGACTGCACTCGAGGGTGGCTCTCAGGGACAGCAGGCTTTGTGCTGACATCCTTATCTCCCTGCGCCCTAGAACCTCAACATGACGGTGGCCCAGGACTGGTGCCTGGCCCTGCAGCGGCTCATGCGGGTGAAGGAGGAGGAGATCCATTCAGCCAACAAGTGCCGCCTGCGGCTCCTGCTTCCTGGGAAGCCCGACAAGTGAGAGGAGGGGCCTGGGAGGGGCGTCTGGTCCGTCCTGCTCCTGGCTAGGAGGGGCTGGGCGTGGGCGTGGGCTGGGTGTGGGCTGGGCCTGGTGCGGCGTTTGGCACAGAGCAGGTGCCTGTGGTCCAGTGCATGAATGAATGAATGAACAAAGGACCCGTTCGTACCCGGGGGAGCCCTTCCTCTGTTAGGCTGCTCTGATACTTTGCCAGCGGTTGGTCGACCATGGCATCCCCTGGGACCAGGTGCACCCAGCCTCCCCCAAATGCCCGCACAGGAGCTGGTGCTCCGTAGACCCACGGCTGGCATTTGTGGACTTGACGCAGAGATGGAGAGCGAGCCGTGTGGTCCCCGCTCTGCAGGTGGGGAGGCGGGGCGCAGACGTAGGGGGCGGGGCCGGGTCCTCAGGGTCCCCACTCCCAGGCCTAGGCCGGGCAGTGAGTGGTAAGAGCCCAGTTTGTGACCCGCTGGGTCCGTTGTCACGAAGACTCAGACACGACTGAGTGCACGCACGCGAGTGTGGCGGGGTTAGGCGGGGAGTCTTACGGGCTCCGTGGCTGCAGGGTGCGGGGATTGAAGCCCCGGGTGGGGGCCCCGAACCTGCGAGCGGCCCTCCCGCTGGCTCCTGGCGCCCTGCTGAGCCGCCCTGTCCCCCTGACCCTGCACGTCCTCCTCCCCACGCCCCACAGAGCGCTCGGGACCCCAGGCCCACCCGCCTCTCCTGGCTGGGGTGGACCGCAGGGGTGAGACGAGCTCAGAAACAGTGAAGGCGCCCTGCCGCTCCGAGGTGAGGTGGCAGGGGCAGCAGGGACCTCGCCCCCCAAGCCTGCACACACCTCCGTTCACTTCCTCCTTCACTCATTCATGTATCGTTCAGCGGATGTTTACCGAGCAGCTGTCCCGCCTCAGGGGCCAGGCACAGGCCCGAGTCACAGGCTCTGGGCCAGGCGTGTGCGGGCGGCTGCGCGGCCTGTGGAAGGCTGACCAGCCGGGCCTGGGGGGCTGCTTGAGCTGCAGCCTGCAGAACCCCAGACCCCCGTGGCCTTGCTGGGCGCCTGGGCCGGGCTGGGAGGCCATGGCCTTGTCGCTCTGGGGACCTCCCTGTCCCTGCGGCCGTGGTGGGTGGAGGAACTCTTTCCCCAAGGGACGGAGGCTTTGCCAGGCCAGCAGCCTCTCCGGCCGTGTTTCAGTGCTGTGCACGGACCACGATCTGTCTCCAGGGCTGGTGGGGGCGGGAGAGGGGCTGGGGGTCTCCCCGGGGAGCCCCGTTCCGGTACTCATACCCTACTGTCTCACTGAAGGTCCGGCCGCCCCATCAGCTTCATGGTGGTCTTCATCACCCCCAACCCTCTGAGCAAGATCTCCTGGGTCAACAGGTTGCACTTGGCCAAGATTGGACTTCGTGAGTAAAGCCCTAGGGTCAGGGGTGGACAGGGGAGGCTTGGGGTGTGTGTATGTGTGGGTACGAGGGGGGCGTTCAGTCTGGGGGCCGGGGGCGCTTCTAGGTGAAGGGAGAGGGTGTTCTGGGCTTAGTGACCTGTGACCTTGGACATGCCACTTCCCCTCTGGAGCCTCAGTTTCCCTTTCTGGAGAACGATGGGAGTTGATGGAAAGTTAATTGGTGGTTGCCTGGGGTCTGGAAGAGGAGAGACTGGAGAGTCACCACTAAAGGGTTTTTTTTTGGTGAGAATGATGAAAGCGTTCTCAAACTAGAGAGTGGTGATGGTTGCCCAACTGAGCGACTATACCAGAGACTAGTGAAATGTACTCTTTATTTAAGGGGTGGATTTTATGGTAGCGGAATTATGTCTTGATAAAACTGTTGTAAAAAGAATGATGCAGGTTAGACTAAACTGATTCTCAACCAGAGGCCTCTTTATAATTCTTTTCTCTGCTGCGGTGCTTAGTCGCTCAGTCGTGTCCGATGCTTTGTGACCCCACTGACTGCAGTCTTCTAGGCTCGTCTGTCCATGGGGTTCTCCAGGCCAGAACACTGGAGTGGGTTGCCATGCCCACCTCCAGGGGATCTTCCCCACCCAGGGCTCGAACCGAGGTCTCCCGCGTTACAGGCAGATTCTTTACTGTCTGAGCCACCAGGGTCTTTGCTCCTATACATCCCCTAAGCAATAATGGACGTTTCTATCTACAAAGTGTTTCCTGTGTGGCAAGCCTTTTTCCAAGCATTTTACACATCTCTCTTTCATTTCACATTCTTAGTAACACCAAGAGGCCAGTCTGTTGCGAATGCCTTTGTACGGTTGAGATTCTGCGGCCCAGAGAGGTGCAGTGACTTGTCAGAGTTCACGCAGCAGGAAGGGGTTCGGAACCTGGGCGGTCGGCTTTAGAGCCCACTCTTAATTCTTGTTCGTACTTCCTCAAGTTGGTGAGCTTCTGTCTGCCAAACCACATTTGTTAAGCTATAAGCACTTTACTTGTGCTTTTTTTGAATTGACAAAAGGCCTGCTTTGTTGCCCATCAAAACCATTATTGTCTGTGACATGCTAGAATTTCCATATGCTGATTCTAGTCAATAGCAGTGATTTTGGAGGTTTTGTTTTATTTTATTTTGTTTCTGTTTCTGGTGTGATCTTTTTTGAGATAAGTATTCGATATTTATCTCCAATGGATTTTAAAACGTTTCTGGAAAGGGGTCAGGACCTTTGTCAATGGCTTTCATCAATTAAAAAAAGTATTGAGTCTCTACAGTTATTTGAGAGGATGATATGAATGGCATCACGCACTCGATGGACATGGGTTTGAGCAAGCTCCGGGAGTTGGTGATGGACAGGGAGGCCTGGCGTGCTCCAGTCCACGGGGTCCCAGAAAGTCGGACGCGACTGAGAGACTGAATGACAACAATGCAGTGATTTCAGGCACAGGGGACGAGAACAATGGATAAACAGAGGTTCACTGTTCTCAAGGAAGTTAGTTTGCAGGGGCAGGCAGAGGTTCACAGGAGGAGCAAGTCCGCAGGGAGGGCCTGGAGCCGCCAGGCGGATGGAGCCGACGCGTGACCCGCACGCAGCTTGGGGTCTGGACTGGTCAGGGCGGGCTCTGCGGAGGTGACGTCTGGAGCTGGGCGGAGGTCTCGGTCCAGCGAGCCAGGCCGTGCAGCAAGTGCGAAGGTCCTGAGGCGGCCAGAGCTGATGCACAGCCGGGTGTGAGGGGAGGCCGGCGGAAGTGGGCAGCTGGTTTACTGGAAAGCCAGGGTGAGGTGTACGGAGTTGGTGTCTGGAGGCGTGGGGGCTTGGTTGCTGCGCTGAGAGCCTGAGGGCAGTATGACCTGATTTCCAATTCAGTGGCTCATCTGGCTGCTGCGCGGAGGGGGCGTGGAGGGCGCGTGGGGGGCACGGGGCCTGGAGGGCGCGGAGGGGCAGGGGGGCGTTGAGGGGTGTGGGGAGGTGGGGGAGGGAATAGGGAGGGGGCCTGGGCTTGGAGGAGTGGGGAGCGGGCCCGCTGGGGTCTGGTGCTGACCCGCATGGGCCTCCGCGGGATGTTCCTATGAGCAGGAGGCCTGCGGACGGTGGAAGAGGGGGTTTAAGCCGAGGCTGCCCCGGCCCTGGCGGAGGGTGGCGGGGATTCCGGTCGTGGTGGCCTCCCTGCTGACGTGGGCCGCGTGCTCCGCTGCCCCCGCCCCTGGGGGAGGCGTCCAGGGCCTGAGCCCGCGAGTGTGGACCTGTAAACATCTCCCGTCTGAAGCTCAGACGCTTTGCAGAGGGCCCTGGCATCGGCCGGAGAGGAGCTCACTGGTGTGAGCGGCTCCCTTTTCCGCGGCCTGTGAGGACGCTCAGCCGCCTTATCTGCACCCAGTTTCACTGCAGCACAAGTTTTAATGGAAAGGGAGTCATTTGAAATCTTGTTTGAATGCCAGGGTTCCCCTGGGGCTTGAATAATTTGGTTCTTTTATTTGGCCAGTTTGTTTTTTCATCTGCAGTGCCTGGTGCGGGAGGGGGGTGGGAATAATATGAGCCTGTTAGAAATAGAACATGTTAAAAGCATTTATTCACAAAGGATGTTATTCCTTTAATTTTTTCCCCTGTATCTTCCTCTCTTCCTGAGTCCAGTCTGCCGAGATCATAATCCACAAAGGCTGAGAGCTGAGGGCTGGGCAGGGGCCCTGGGAACTGGGATGGGGAGTCAGTCCTACCCTTCGGAAGGGCAGGGGTCCTGGGGGGCTCTCGGGACCCCACTGACACTCCCGTGTGGCCACCGCCGTGCGCTGCAGCCTGAGGAAGGCAGGCTGGCTCCCCTAACCCGGCCTGAGTCTCCGGGGCCTCTTCCTGTGCATCGCGGGGTCTGAGCACCGCGTGACGCGGAGCCAGACTCTGTGGGTTCAGTTCCCAGCTCTGCGGCATGCCAGCTCCGTGATCTTGGACAGACGCCTTCACCCCTGCATGCCTGGGATTCTCCATCAGAAAATGGGGATGTTCCCAGGGTGTGGGCTGAGCGTAGGGGAGATGGTGCCTGGAAGGGGCCGCTCCCAGGAAAGGGGTGTCTGCGTCTCCCGGGGGAGTGGCCGGGCCGGCCTGGGGTCACATTTAGTGCAGAGGGGGCCAGGACGCCCTCCCCCCGCCCCCTGCCAGTTAATCTCTGTTCTCTAAGGCTCGGGAAAAGGTTTGTCGAAAGGAGGCCCCGGAGGTGGGGCTGGGGAAAGGACAGGTTGGGGCTTCCGGCCTCCCTTCCTGTCCCCCAGCCCTGCGGCTCTAAGTGCCGCATCCGTGGCCCAGGGACCCCTGGAGCCTCTCCCGACACGGCCTTCCTTGTTCCCAACCCTGAAGGACCTGGGCCAGGCACACCCCAGGCCAGTCCCGCGATCAGAGAAACAGGTCCTCGCTGGGTCTTCATTAACCCTCAGCCGTCAGAGGGCGGCGCCAGGACCTAACCAGGCGCTCAGCTGGAGGCGGCGGGTCCGCTCTGCAGGAGGGCTGAGGCCTGGGAGCCCCTCTGGGCTCCACCCCAGCCGGGTGACCACTGCCCCCGCCTGGCCTCCCTGGACCCCAGCATCTCTCTGAAGGGGCGAAGTGTCAGGACAAGATGCGTGCGGGTATGCCCATGGCCGCGGTCTGCAGCATCTTTGTGGGCTGCGCAGGTGTGACAGGGGCCTTGGGTTTAGGGCGCAGAGCAGGGCAGGCTGGGCTGTCTGCTGGGGCTGCCGTGGGGGCCAGGGTGCAGGGCTGGGACTGAGCGCGGGGAGTGGGAGGCAGGTGGGGCTGGAGACTCTGGGCAGGGCCCGCGAGGCTGGTGGGCTCGGCCCGGGTAGGGGGTGGTCCAGCCTCGAGCACAGTAGTCGGCATCCTCTTCACCACGAGGACGGTGATCGTAGTGGGTTCTATTTCTTTCTGTAAAAACATGCTCTAAGGAACTGTTTATTTCTCGGCTGCATTGGGTCTGGGCCGAGGCAGGCCGCTTTGTTGCCGCGGGCAGGCCTCTCTCTAGTCGCGGGCGTGGAGGCCAGGGGTCGCGGCGGGCGGGCCTCGCCGCCCTGCGGGGAGTGGGATCCCAGCTCTCTGACCGCGCTTCGAGCCTCTGTCCCCCACCTCGCGCGTGGCCTCTGCACCACTGGGCCACCCGAAGGGCCCTGGGTTCGTTTCTTGAGTGTCTGGTGCGCACTGGATGTTCGTGTGTGGTCTTCCCGGTGCTCACAACTCTCAACGGCTGGAATTATTTCCCCCATTTCCCAAACGAGGCCACAGGCTCAGAGCGGTGATGTGTGCGGCTCTGAGCCACACAGGGCCCTGCCGGCAGAGTCAGCCTCCTGCGGCTGGCGGGTGGTCCCGAGGGCTCAGGGACGCGGGCGCGGGCGGGGACCCCAGAGTTGGGTGGGTGCTGGCGGACACAGCCGATGCTAAATAAGCCCCCACTTAATGTCAGCTGGAAATAGTGGCTCTGCCGTCGGTGCCAGTTCTTAATGTCACTTACCCCAAGCGGGCTTTCGGCCTCCGAGGAGGCAGCCTTCTGATTCAGTCTCAGCCGCCCCGGTTTTGTGATGGGAATAAAGGCAGTGGCAGATGGGGAACAACAGCCCCGTTTTCTGTTAACATTCCCAGTCACAGGCCAGGAAGGCACCATCTGGAAGGAGAAGGTCAGATCATTAAAGGAAGAGACAGGATAAATTTCCAGGACTCGATGGGCTGGGAGTACGTGGAGGGGAGGGGAGGACAGAGCTCTGGGCGACGCGGTGATGGGGGAGCGGACGCGTCCACTCACGGAGCCCCGGGTGGGCAGGTGGGCTCGGACTGCTCTCCTGAGCCCCTGCCCGCAGAGGCGAGGGTCTGCGTGACTGTGAGCGCCTTGAAAGCAGGGCCAGACTCTGCAGCCTCGCCGTCTTACTCACCGCCCGGGGCTTTGTCCGCAGGTGGCGGGCAGCCCTAACGTGAGAGGGCGTCCCCGGGCGGGCGGGCTGTCTCAGCGCTCACCTGTCTTGCAGGTGCTGTGCAGGCTGTCTCCGGGGGCTGTTTTCTGGGCTCCTGGGCCCTGTCTTTGGCTCCCCGCCCTCCGTTCCCCCGTGTAGATGGGACAGAGACCCTGAGCTTGCCTGCCGGCTGGGGGAGGGCACATGGGACAGAGCACTGGGAGCCGTGAAGTGCGGTGCGCACGGCCGTTCCGCTGCAGAGATGCGCGTCCTCGGCTCAGGTTGTCCTTCCCTTGGGGGCCTCTCCTCCCCAGTGGCGGGAACCAGGGCCCGGTGGGGCGGAGGGCCTGGCGCTGGGGGTGCCCCTGGCCTGCTCAGGGATGCAGCTCTTTGCCCAGAGACTCCGCTGCTCGAGGGGGTGGGCAGGCGCCGTAGCCTCTTCCGGAGCCGGGGCTGGTTGTTCGTGAATCCCTGCTTTTGTGAACATCCTCGTCTCTCAAAGAGCCTCGGCCCCTGCCCCCTGGTTCCAGCTCGTGTTGCGACCTGCACACAGACATCAGCTTTCTCTAGTGGAAATGGCCGTCTTAAAGCCCCTTCACTGCGGTCTGATTGATATACAAAGAGCCGTGCATATTTCATGCCTACAACTGGATGAGTTCAGAGGTAAGCATACCTTGTGAACTCCATCGCCACAGTCTATGCCCTAAATAAATGCGTCCGCTGCAAACTTCCCTCCTGCCCTCTGCCTTATTATTGTTACTTGTGTGTGTGTGATAAGAACACTTAGCATAAGACCCGTCCTCTTAGCAAATGTTAAAGCATACACTGCGTGCTCAGGTGCTTCAGCCGTGTCCGACTCTGAAACCCCGTGGACTGTAGCCCGCCAGGCTCCTCTGTCCGTGGGATTCTCCAGGCGAGAATACTGGAGTGGGTTGCCATGCCCTCCTCCAGGGGATCTTCCCCACCCAGGGATTGAATTCGCGTCGCTTACATCTCCTGCATTGACAGGCGGGTTCTTTACCACTAGCGCCACCTGGGAAGCCCAAAGCACGTAATACAGAGCTGTTAGCTGCAGGCCGTGCGGACGGATCTCTGGGATTTATTCATCTTGTGAAAACAAAGCTTCCTGCCTTTCCCAGTTGGCCGTATTTCTGCAATGCTTGCTCTGTGCCGAGCGGAGCTTGAGGAGGTGGCTACTCTTGGAGGCGATCGTTCTGATTTGACTAATCCAGAAAATGGGGCTTGGGGAACAAGCTTCGTTCATGCCAAACAAGGGCATGAGAGCCCACTGTGCGTGCAGTGCCGTGTGAAGGATGGAGTGGGGCGGAGGAGGAGGTGTGGGAAGCTTCAGCCTTCACGGGAAACGGGCGTAGTGGGAGGCCGGTGGACACACGAGCCCATGAATCACACGTGCACGTGCATTCACGCATATACACACGTGTACTTGTGCGGCTGTGCACACACGCACACAGAGGGAAAAAGACGCAAGCCTATTAATAGAAGAGCCAGAAATTGTGGTCAGGGCCATTGTACACACCCGCAGGGCTGGGACAGAAAACGATGGAGGTGGGGGAATGGGGCGATGGTCAGTTGAAGCCTTTCTGAGAGGGCGGGGGCTCGGCCTCAGCCTCAGCGAGGAGCGGAGCCCGCCCTGGAGAGGGTGGAGGGCAGAGGGAAAAGGGCAGAGGGACGTCCTCCTGCGGGCTCGTCCCTTTTCAGCCAGAGAGGAGAGCCTAGCACGCTGGAGCCTGCTGCCGGGGGTGAGGCTGTCAGGGAAGGAGGGTCCTTGCGGCTCTTCCGGGAAGAGTATGGACTTCATTCCAAGTGGACCAGGACCCAGCGGAAGCGGGGAACCACGAGGGCTGGCAGAGGCTCAGCAGGATGGCGCTGGCTGCCGTGGGGATGGCGGGCTGCAGGGGCAGCAGTGAGTGTCCAGCCGGCAGGGTCAGCACATGGGCGTGGTCTCGGGGCCCGCTGTGGACCACTTCGTCCCCCGTCTCTAACGGGCCCTCCCCGCCCCTTCCTCTCGCGTAGGGGAGGAGAACCAGCCCGGCTGGCTGCAGGGGCAGCAGTGAGCGTCCAGCCCGCAGGGTCAGCACATGGGCGCGGGCTCCGAGGCCCCGTGGACCACTTCGTCCCCCGTCTCTAACAGGCCCTCCCCACCCCTTCCTCTCGTGCAGGGGAGGAGAACCAGTCGGGCTGGCTGCAGGGGCAGCAGTGAGCGTTCAGCCGGCAGGGTCAGCACATGGGCGCGGGCTCCCAGGCCCTGTGGACCACTTCGTCCCCGCCCTGTCTCTAACGGGCCCTCCCCGCCCCTTCCTCTCGCGCAGGGGAGGAGAACCAGCCCGGCTGGCTGTGTCCGGATGAAGACAAGCAGAGCCGAGCCCCGTTCTGGTGCCCAATCCTGGCCTGCTGCGTCCCTGCCTTCTCCTCCAGGGGCCTCAGCCTGCAGGTGAGTGCGCCCGGGGGCGCCCAGGGCAGGGGAGTCCCGGCCGCCGGCCCCAGCTTCTCCACGTCGGGCCCAGGGGGGTGGTCTCGGGTCGGCGTTCCCCAGAGAAGGGGGCAGGCGACCTCTGTGGGTCAGGGAGCCGACAGTTCCGTCGTTCTGAGCTAACAGACAGCGGCGATCCGTCAGCTGATGGAGTGACGCCCGCTCAGCAGACAGACTGGAATGGTTTCCCCTCTTAGGACATTGCCGGGGCAGCCGGCTTCGGCTCCACCGCCGTCACCCCCTCAGTGCTTTGCCCTCACTCGCTTGTTTTATTATTTATAAGAACCCACAAGTGGATGTCTCTAGGTCTCCTTCGCAGGTCAAGACTCAGGTGACATGATTTCTTTTAAATGTCATGGCCAGTGAGGGTGAGAGGAGGAATAGGAATCTGGCTCCCTGACGCCTGCACCCCGGCTGTAAGCCCAGGGACTCTCAGCTCCGGTGCCTCCATGCCCGGGACCCTGGCTGAGCTCAGCCGTCCGTCTGGAGAAGTGCTCGTCCGTCCTCCTCCCAAGGAGGTGAGGTCGTCTGAGCTCCGGGCAGGGGAGAGCAAGCCTGGGACCTTGGCACCGGATTAATCCCCAAGAGACAAACTGGACTGTGGATCCGGGCTCTGAACAGCTGAAGGCATGTGCCCTTGGGAAGCCAGTCCGTCCATTCGCGTGCTCATCTGTTCTGCATATAATATTTTTGAGGACGTACTGTGTGCCAGGCCTTGTGCCCACTCTGGGAATATGGTGGCGACCTAAACATGCAAGGTTCCTGCCCTCTTGCAGCTCTCAGTCTAGATGAGAGAGGCAGGGAGTTACCACCAGCTCCCACCCACCCCCTCAGCAAACAAGGGCAAAGAGAAAGGAGTGCTGCGTGCTATAGAGAATAAATCAGAGACAGTGAATGCAGACCTGGGGCCACGTAGTTAGGGGGTCAGAGGGGGACTCTCAGAGGAGGTGGCATATAAACTGAGCCCCTAATGGTGAGGAGGATCCAACCACAGGAGGGCCCAGCAGGAGGATATTCAAATCAAACAAACCGACACAGAAGCCTGCGATTGGGGCAGCTGGCGTGGCCGTGGCTCCGGGAGCCAGCAGGGAAGGCTGGGCTCTGAGACCTGACAGTGGGTGAGCTGGTTCAGCTGGCCTTGCAGGGCGCATCGGGTTTGGATGTCATCCTCAGAGCAAGGAAAAACCAAGTGTGGCTCCAAGCAAGGGACCAGCGGGACCTGGTTTGCCTTTTGGAAGGGTCATCTGACGCTTCCAGCTGGTGTGCAGGAGGGAACTGCGAACCCAGAGGGGCCAGGATGGGAGGCTGGGACCCTCGCAGAGCTCAGCACCAGGGTCCCGCTGAGACGGGGCGAGACTTGGTGCAGGTGGAGGGAGGCCAGGGTCAACGGAGACCAGGGTGGCTGTGGGGAGGTGAGTGAGGCACTGATCGTCAGAGTAAGTGATGTTTTATTGCAACGCTTAAAGAAAATGTAAGTGTTTTACTTTAAAGTGATTCTTTACTACTGTGGCTCAGATGGTAAAGTGTCTGTCTACAATGTGGGAGACCTGGGTTCGATCCCTGGGTTGGAAAGATTCCCTGGAGAAGGAAATGGCAACCCACTCCAGTACTCTTGCTTAGAAAACCCCATGGACGGAGGAGCCTGGGGCAGGCTGCTGTCCATGGGATCGCAGAGTCAGACACGACTGAGCGACTTCACGTTAAAGGAAAAGTCAGACCAGCCCACTGTGGGCTTGGCTTCCTGCCCTTTTTTTTTTCTTTTTTTAGTGAATAAGGAGCCAGGATTAGGGAAAGGCGGCATCTGGTCCTGTCTTTATTTCAGCTCTTAGTAATTGTTCACCATTGATTTTGTGTGTGTGTGTGCGCTAAATTTTTATTGTAAGAAATTATGTTGAAACCTTTTCTTGATGTCTGAGTATTGCATCCCCCGCTGAAGGGGTGCCCCCGGGGTGAGCATCCCGCTCTCCTCCCCCTGGTCCTGGCCCTGGTGGAGGCAGTGGGCAGGGGGGACTTGGGGACAGGTGTGGGCAGTGCTCTGGGCTCAGACTGGCTGAACTGGTGAGAAGGTGGGGGCTGGGGCTGAAGGAGACGAAGGACTTGGGTCTTTGGCTTTTGCTCAGTGGGGTGCTGGGCCCTGCGCGGCGGCCTGATTTAGGGGTTCAGTGAATCAGGCTCCTCACAGTGACCCTGACTCCTGGCCCGTGCTTGGGGGAGAGTAGCCACAACGCTGTGCTGTGCCGAGTCGCTCAGTCATGTAGCGGTGATACTAATAACAATCAAGACGACCGCGACGTTACCTTGAGTTCTTTAGTCTTGACAACCACATGTCATGTATGGATGTGAGACTTGGACTATAAAGAAAGCTGAACGCCGAAGAATTGATGCTATTGAACTGTGGTGTTGGAGAAGACTCTTAAGAGTCCCTTGGACTGCAAGGAGATCCAACCAGTCCATCCTAAAGGAGATCAGTCCTGAATATTCATTGGAAGGGCTGAAGCTGAAGCTCCAATACTGTGGCCACCTGATGCGAAGAACTGACTCATTGGAAAAGGCCCTGATGCTGGGAAAGATTGAAGGTGGGAGGAGAAGGGGACGACAGAGAATTAGATGGTTGGATGGCATCACTGACTCGATGGACATGAGTTTGAGTAAACTCCGAGAGCTGGTGATGGACAGGGAGGCCTGGCGTGCTGCAGTCCATGGGGTGGCAAAGAATTGGACATGACTGAGCGACTGAACTGAACTGACCGGAGTGTTGGCCACAAGGGTCAGGTCCTTCTGGTACCTGTCTGTGCTGGGCTCCGCCCTGGGCCATTCCTGGGGATGGACTCTGTGATCCCCAGCCACCCTGAGATGGAGATCCAGGGGCCATCACTTTCTCACGGCCTGGGAAGGAGAGTGCCCTGACCCTTGCCTGATCTGCTCCTCCCTACCCCTCTCTCGTCTGGCCTTGGCTGGCACATGGCCAGCGCAGTTCCCCCTTAGACATCGCTGGCCTCTGTGGGCCTACAGTCCTGACCCCATTAGTAAGGGCTGCCTGCGGGGGGTCCTGCCGGCTCTTGCCCCAGGGGCACAGCCTGTGGGCGGATTCTGGTCCACCCGCCTGCAGCTCTCCTGACCCGAGCAGATCCCATGGAGAAGGACTTCCGGGTACGGAGTGCATCATCCCGTCTGCCCCAGGGCACTGGACCTCTGGGGAATGCAGGACACAGGCCTGCCCTGACAGGTCACGCCCGGGGTGGAGGTGTCCCAGACAGGCCGCTGCCCCAGGGCCTCCCTGAAAGAACGCCCCCCACCCCTGAGCCGGGAGTTACCCGCCTCCTGTCATTGGGGGTCGTCCCCATGTGAAGCCTTTGGGCTGAAAGCACCCTCAGCCCCACTGGTGTCATGGTTTGGGGGTTTTCTGGTGGCCTGATTGCTGAGGTGGTAGGAGGTTCTTCTTGGACTTGGGCTCCATCTGAGCTGTAGGCCCATCCCTGGAGGGTGACGGGGGGACGAGGGGAAGGCTCACAGCGAACCCATTTCCCCCTGTGGGCTGAGGTTCCATGACAGGCCTGCCAGGGACTCAGGACTCAGGGCGTGGGTGGGCTGCTGCCCGCTCCAGGCAGCTGTCATATACAGGTATCCCGGGGGGCCGAGGGCTGCAGCCCAGAGCTGCAGAGGCAGGCTTGCTTGGGCCTCAGCACACCAGGCAAGTGGCCTCGGTGCTGGCCGCCACCCTCCATCAGCCAGAGTTACCGTCGGTGGGTCCCTGTCCCCGAACTCTGGGCCTCCGTTGCCCCTCCCCCACAGTGCTGTTGGCTGATGGAGTTACTCCCGTGAAGTGCTAACATGTCCCAGTAGAAGTCCTCCTGACCAGTGACTGCTGCCGGGGGCCCAGCCCCTGCCAAGGGCGTTAGGTCCACCATCTCTTGTCCGGGTCCTGCCAAGATGCCAGGGCCCCATGACCACGAGGAACTGGTCTGTGGGGTCACCGAGCTGGTAGCACATCCCAGGGGGCTCTAGGGGTGAAGGACCCGCCTGCCAGTGCAGGAAACTTAAGAGACGTGGGCTGGATCCCTGGGTCGGGAAGATCCCCTGCAGGAGGACTTGGCAGCCCACCCTAGTATTCTTGCCTGGAGAATCCCCCTGGACAGAGGAGCCTGGCGGGGTGCAGTCCACGGGGTCGCAAAGAGTCGGACACGCCTGAGTGGCCGAGCGCGCGTGCTGGTAGCAGCGGAGCTGGGACTGGAGCCCCCTGGCTGGACCCAGAGCCCGGCCGTTCGAGGAGCCTTTGAGGCTTCGCCCCGTCTCCCGCCCAGGCTCTGCTGACTGGCTGACGCCTGGCCTGCTGGGGTTGCCATGGAAACACCCGAGCCAGGCTGCGGTCCCCCCACCCCCCGCCCCACCAATCCAAGAGGAGAGGAGCGGGAAGGGCCAGGCACTCGGGGGGCTGTGGGCCCCCAAGAGACCAGGTGATGGGCGCAGGGCCCGAGGGTGCCCGGGAGACCGGGGTGAGCTCCCCGCCCGGCACACGCTGTCCCCCAGGGGCTCACGGCCTCCAGCGGCCCGGCCTTCACGTAGCGTTTTAACCAAAAAGAGCGCCGGGCTGGGATTCACAGCAGGAGTCCGTCCCTGACTCCGCCGTTCCCTGCTGGGTGACCCTCAGCCAGTCACGTCCCCCTGCCCTCCGAGCTCACGTTTGCCAGCCTCTCAGCAAGGGGGCTGCGGCAGGTGACCCCTTTGGGTCCCGTCACCTGTGGCCCTTGGAGACTTGATCGTTAGATCATCCCAGCGGCCCGGGGCGAGCAGAGGGCAGCACCTGCCTGCTCAGAGGCCCCGCGGTGGCCGCGTCCTCCCCGGGCAGCCCCGCGCTCCCCAGCCAGCTTCCTCCTTGTTCTGGCTGGAGTTTCCAGCAAGGCCCCTGAAAGGGCCAGGCCCTCCCCTCACACTGCCATCCTGGCCAGAGACGTGGACGGCAGATTTAGTTCAGGAAAAGGCCCGAGGGCCGCTGGCGTGGGGTTGGGGGCTGTGATGCTGAGGAGTAAGCAGCCAGTGGTCCTCAGTGACAGCGCCGCGCGGACGGAGCCCGCAGACCGCGGACCGGCCCTCCGGTCCTGGCGGGGTCGGCTGAGGAGGGGCTCTGTCGACCCGGGACCCCCTCCGCCGTGCTTCTCGGGGGGGGAGGTGGGAAGGCCAAGGGTGCACGCCGCCTCCGTGGCCTCGGGCAGCTGCTTGTTTTCTGTGGACCTTGTCTTCTCCACGTATGAAATATGAGCGGTGCACGTCCGTGGTTTTCAACAAAGCCCAGGTTGGAAATCCCTCTGCTGGCCCAGAGATTTATTCAGGCTGCAGAAGGTTCCAGGAGGGCGGAGGTCACCTGGGAGTGCCTGGGGGCTGCCTGGGAGGAGCCTGCCCCTCGCTGGCCCTGCCCGCAGCGGCCTGGGGGCCTGAAGGGGACACTGGAACCGGCAGGTTTAGCAGTCCCTGTCGGACGTCCAGACCCGGGTGGTGCTGTCAGACGTCAGCATCCCCGGCACCGCGATGCTCACCCCTGTGTGCCGTCTGTCTCTGCAGCTCGGGGCCCTGGTCCACAGTCCCGTCAGCTGTCCTCTGCTAGGCTTCTCGGCCATCAGCACCTCCCTCCCACAGGGCTACCTCTGGGTGAGTAACCCCCACATCCAGCCGGGGCCTCGGGCCTCGGGGCACGAGCAGGGGGGAGGCACCTGGGAGGGGTGCTGGAGAAAGCGGCCAGCCCGTGGGCCCCGTTTTGCGCACCTTCACCCAGCGAGGTCTTCCTGGGGACTTCCGCGGCAGGCTCTGTGCTCAGAGCTGGCATGTGTGACCTCAGCAGGGACAGCAGAAAGCCAGGGGACCGATCAGAGAATAGGATTCTTGCAACTGGCCTTGGTGCTGTGACAGAAATGAACGAAGCAGTCGGAGAATCGGGATGGCAGGTCTTCCCCCCCGGGCATCAGGAGGCAAGGCTGCCCTTCTCTCTCAGAGATTCCAGCCCACCTTTCTGCACCGGGATTCTGCAGAGCCTGCCTTGATCCACTTCGGTGCTGTGCTCCTCATGTGACTTGCGGTGCAGACTGTGGCCTCCCATAGGTTTCCTGAGGTTCCAGCCTCACCACCCCTCCGGTCAGTCTTCAGGCATTCAGGCAGGGAAACTCTGGCTTACCCTTCAGAGTCCAGCCCAACTGTCCCTTCTGAGGGTGATTTCTTCTTCACTGTTTCTCCAGTGTCTAGTATATGATGTATCTACCCATCCACTATCCTTCCATCTGTCCATTAATCTTCATCCATCCATCCATTATCCTTCCATCCACCCATCTATCTGTTATCCTTCCATCCATCCATCCATCCAGCGTTATAATCATCTGTTCATCTACCCATCCATCCATTCATCCATTCAGCTAGTCGCTCTCCCTTCCATCCATCTGTTCATCCATCCATCCATCCATCCATCCATCATCCAAAAGTCCTTGTAATCATCTGTCCATCCTTCTATCCATCCATCCATCCATCCATCATTCATCCATCCATTCATCCAGTCTTTTGTCCCATCCATCCATTCTTCTATCCATCCATCCTTGTGATCATCCATCCATCCCTTCATCCATTCAGCAAGGATACAATGAGTGTCTACCATGTGCTAAATGCAGAGGTGAAACTGAAGGAGACAGGGCAGAGTGTATGCTCGCTCTTTGTTGCTTGAAATTTTCCTTAAAGCAATAGACAGCTGGCTGGGTACCTAGTCCACCTTAGCTCTTTTCCTGATTTTCTTTGGGCCCCGAATCTAACTTGTTGCCGAGGCAGCTGGGAACAAGTGACCTGCAGTGACCGCAGGACACCTGTGGGCAGGAGCGGGCATGTTTCTCTTGGTGCCTAACCCCCGTGACAAGCAGATGCTCAGGGGGGCGGGTCATGGGAGGCAGGGGCTGCGTCTGCGTCCTCCCAGGAGGCGCTCACCTGACGGCCTCTCTCGCCTCTGCCGTAGGTCGGAGGTGGGCAGGAGGGTGCGGGCGGCCATGTGGAGATCTTCTCCCTGAACCGGCCGTCACCCCGCACGGTCAAATCCTTCCCGCTGGCGGCACCCGTGCTCTGCATGGAGTACATTCCAGAGCCAGGGGAGGGCGACGGCAGAGATGGGAATGAGGGCTGCCCTGCTGCTGACGCCTCGGCCGGGGTGCACCCCATCGTCTGCCTCGGGCTCCAGGACGGCAGGTGAGGGGCCCGGGCCGGGGAGGGGCTGGGAACCCTGGGCTCTGCCCCTCCAGCTTTGCTCCTCACCCCCAACATTTGGCGCCCCTGGTAGGGAGCAGGAAGTGGGGAGCAGGAGCGGGAAGTGGGGAGCAGGAGCAGGAAGTGGGGGCCCAGAGCAGGAAGTGGGGGCCAGGAGCAGGAAGTGGGGACCAGGAACTGGAAGTGGGGGCCATGAGCAGGAAGCGGGAGCCGGGAGCGGGAAGTGGGGACCAGGAACTGGAAGTGGGGGCCATGAGCGGGAAGCGGGGGCCGGGAGCGGGAAGCGGGGGCCGGGAGCGGGAAGTGGGGGCCGGGAGCGGGAAGTGGGGGCCGGGATGCCCAGCCAGTGTCAGGAGCTGCTCACACTTTAACCAGGACACTCCAGGGGCAGCTCTGTGCCAGCAGCCCCCTCCCGTAGTGTGGTCCTCGGGCGACGCTGGCCTCGCTGTGCGGCGGAGCTGGGTATGGGTCCGCTACTTCCCTGGGCCGTGTGGCCCTCTGTGAAGTGGTGTGACCGTCCCCCGCACGTGGGGCTGCTGTGGAGCCCACCCAGGCGTGGGACACATGAAGACTTCAGGTCCCTTTGCTGTCACTGCCCGCGTCCACCCGTCTGCGGCCTCAGCCAGCCTGGCAGGGCAAGTGAGGTGCGGGGTGTGCCCAGGCTATGAGACCTGCTGGCAGAGGGGGCTCCCCCTTGTAAGACCTGCCTGGAGCTGGTGAGTCAGCAAACACTTCTGTGCAGCAGGGGCCGCCCCTGCCCAAGCTTGGCCTGCTGGAAGGCCCAGCCATGTGGATGGAGGGTGAATATTCATCTCGTTAACTGGACTGTGGAGACGGCTGTGAAGAGGACCCTGAGATGGGCTGCACCCCCGCATCCTCGCGTCTCCGTGCGCCTCGCACCTGCCGTAGAGTCCAGGGACATTATGCACACCTGCTGTGTGCTGCTCCCTGGGCCAGGAGCTGTGAGCCTCGCAGGGGCTCATTTCCCGCATGAGCAGCTGGGGGGAGGAGCTGAAAGCTAATATACTTAGAACCAACTTGGAGGCACTAGAGGCTCCATGCTGTCCGGGTCTGGGTTCACGGAACCCAGGGGCCTGGTGAACACTTTTTGCTTTTAATGAGATCAGATTCAAACTACGTAAAATTTATCATTTTAGCCATTTAAAATCATGCAATTCAGTGGTTCCCAGTACATTCATGATGGGTAGCCATCACCACTACTTAATAACATTCTCGTCACATCCCCTGGAACCTCTGTATCAACTCACATTCCCCGCCCCAACCCCTGGGAACCACTAATCTGTTCCCATCCATTGGTCTGGATTTGTCTCTTCTGCTCACTTCATACGAATGGACTCACACAGTGTGCGGCCTTTTGTGCCTGCCTTCTCTCCTTCCCCCTAACGTTTCAAGGTTCATGCAGGTAGTGCACACGCTGGGGCTTTGTTCCTTGGTGTGGCTGTGAGGTAGGCAGCACGGCCCCATTTTTCAGAGAGGACTGAGGCTCAGTGGTCTAGGCTGGCCAGCTGGAGGGGGACAGTCAGCTGGGTTTGCCCTCAGATGTGACCCTGGAACCGTTCTCCCAACCCCCCAGCTGTGCTGTGCTCAGAGCCCCCCGTCTTCCGTGGGCTGCGACCCGGGCCCGTGGAGAAGTCTGAACAGTGGCCTGGCCACACAGCGGGAGGCAGGCTGAGCTGGTGGGAGGTGGGGCTGGGGGCTGGAGCCCTCTCACCAGGAGGGCGGGGGCTAAGTGAGTCACCGCCTCTCCCCGCAGCGTCCTGCTTTATAGCAGTGTGGACACGGGCACGCAGTGCCTGGCGGCCTGCCGGAGCCCCGGCCTGCAGCCTGTGCTCTGCCTGCGACACAGCCCCTTCCATCTGCTGGCCGGCCTGGAGGATGGCACCCTCGCCGCCTACCCTCGGACCAGCGGTAAGGACGCGGTGCTGGGGGTGGTGGGAGCCGCCCTGGGCCCCGGCCAAGCGCCAGACCCAGGACGAGGGAGGCTGTGGGAGGCAGACCAAGGAGGCAGCTCAGCAGAGTCCGGGAATCAAGTGCTGGAGAGACTGGAGGTCTGATGGGGACTGGGCCCCAAAGGGACGGGGCGCTCACTGTCCTATGGACAGCTCAGCCCATTGGCAGGAGACTCTGCTGCGTAGGAACAGGGTCTCTGGGCACAGGGAGACCTGGCTTCACATCTGGGCTCTGCCCTGATGACAGCCGTGTCCACGGGTGAGCAGCTGCTCCTGTGGGCCTCGGTTTCCTCATCTGTAAAATGGGGATAATGGTAACACCTGCTGCTCATAGGTACAGGAGGGGGTAAGCATTTCAGTGAAGGCAAAGCTTAGCGCCCGGCACAGGCGGTGCCCAGCGGGGTCAGGCACTTCGGTCTCTGCTGTTCGATCGAGCCGTCGATGGCACAGACGATGACGTCTGGAGGGAAGGCGGACGGCGTCCGAGCTGCTGAGCTCCAGGACGGGGTGAAGTGGCGCGTTAATTCTCACCACGACCCTCGGGAATGGCCTCCTCTGTACGGAGACCGATGCTGAGGTGCAGGAAGGGATGCGAGTGCTATGGTCCCCTAACTCACGGCTTGTTCAGCTCCCAGTCCAAGGACAGGAGCAGGGGTGGAGGGGAGTAGGTCCAAGACCAGCGCCCCCAGAGGCTGCTGTGCCGAAGCCTCAGCCTTCCTGCCCGCCCCCCTGCCCCCCGCCCCGCCTCTGATTGCTGCGTCATCACAGCCTGTTGCAGCTTTTAAGCAGGTATTTGTACTGAGCTTTTTGTTTTTGCCACTTGGCACTGTGTTGGTACTTTAGCTTTTGATAAGGCGTTTATAGTTTTTAATTACAGGCGTTGAGGGAGGGGAGGTGATCCCCCTCACCGTCAGACACACCGTGTGTGAGTGTCGGTCCGGGCTCAGATCTTCGGCAGTCTGCACCAGGGCTTCTGGAGGGACGGCCACCCTCTGGCTCCTGCGGGAGTGGAGCCCGGCCTGGCCCGCTCTGCGCCCCCCCAGCCCCCAATGGGCTGCCTCGGGCCTTTCCCCATTGGCTCCTGACTCTTCAGTTTGGGAGTGCGGGTTGGGAGGAGGTGGGCAGGGTGTATCCGTGTGCCAGAGCTTCTAGGACCAAGTACCGCAGGCCGCGTGGTTTCAGCAGCCTGATTTACTGACGGCCATCTGGAGACTGGAGTCTGAGAGCAGGGTGCCGGCGGGGCCGTGCTCTCCCTGAAGGCGCCGGGGACGCGTCTGTTCCAGGCCCGTCTCCCGGTTTCAGGTGGTTCCTTGGCTTGTGGCAGCATAACCCCCATCTTCACGCGGGGCTCTCTCTGGGGGAGCCTGTGTCCAGAGAACCCCTTGGAATCAGACCCCCATCCTCCTCCAGCGTGACCTCATCTTAACCAGTTCCATCAGCAATCCTACCAGCAAACAAGGTCGTGTGCTGAGGTGCTAGGGATTGAGGCGTCAATGAATGAATTTGGGGGACACAGTTCAACCTGTTGAGGGTTGGGGTCTAAGCACTGACTTTCAGCCTTGGGTTTCTCAGAACCAGAAGAGCCCCTGGGGACCACTGGACCCAACACCCTCCTTTTCTGGGTGGGAAGGGACTCCGCGGAGCCCCATGGGTGAGCCAAGGCCCGAACCTCAGGACTGGAGGTCCTCTCCAGCTTTCGGGGGGCTTTGGCTGCTCTGGGCAGAGCGGGGTGGCGTCTGGCCTGGAGGAGAAGCTGAGGTGCTTGCTCCAGGAGGCGTCCTGCCTTGCAGACGTCTGTCCCCAGATGTTTACCGAGCTCCCAGTAGGCCCCATGGATATGGTGGCCAGCAAACCGGACGTGAGCCCACCCTCACGGCTTACAGTGGGAGACAAGACAGGTTTGTAGATGAGTCGAGTGAGCCCGCAGGAAGCTGGCGGTCATACGTGGCACTGGCGGTCCCAAGGGGAGGCGCAGGGTGTTGTTGGGTGAGGGCCTGGCCCTCTGTGCCCGGGATGGGCTGGTCGGCGAAGCCTCTCTAAGGGGCGGGCCCCCGAAGCTGAGACTGAAGAGAAGTGGCCAGCAGCGGTGAGATGACTGTGAGGACTCTCGGGTCACTGGGCCGCCTGGAGCCCGGGGCTGTCGGAGCTGGAGGGGCCTCGGGGTCCAAGCAGTGTGGCTGTGGAGGCAGCCTGCTGCCCTCAGGGTCTCTGCTCATCTGTGTTCCTTCCTCCCTTCCTTCCTTCACTCGCTCAACAAGTACGCGCTCATGAGGTGCCAGGTGAGCCCGTCCCTGTCCATCCTGGGTTTGGGCAGAGCTGCCTGAATGCCCTGTCCATTCCCCCCTCCTGGTCTGTCTCTGAGCAGAGACAGGGACTTGACCAGGCCTGGTGGGGCTGCAGGAATGTCCCTGGTTAGCCGCTGGGGGCGGGGTCACAGCTGCCCCCCAGAGGAGCCCGATGACGGGATGGGTGAGGGTGGGCTGAGGGGTCGGGCTGTCAGGATCGGGTCCCCACTGTGAGACACTGGACCTGTTCCTGCTTCTCCTCTCGGGGCCTCAGTTTCCCCACCTGTAAAGTGGGCGCGAATCCCACCCCTCCGCACAGGGTGGCTGTGAGTGCCAGGGCCAGCCATCGCAGGTGCTCAGCATGGAGTGTGGGGACAGACGTGCGTTTCCCTCCCCACCGTCAGCATCACTGTTGCGCTCACTCCCGGGGTACTGGCTGCCCTTTGGGTCCCCTCGACCTCAGTGACTTTCTCTCTGTGTCCCCCCTTCTGGCTCCAGACCCCCGAGGACCCTGCTGGGCTTTCTGCCCTGCAGCGCGCAGCGGGAGGGGCTGCTGCCTCTCGAAGTTGCCTTTGCTGTGACAGGGCCTTGGTCTCCATTCACTAGACGTGAGCGTGGGTCGAGGCCCAGACAAATGGGCTGTCATGCCGGGGTGGGTGTGACTTTGGAGGTGTGCGTGCCTGTTCTGGAATTGTGTGTGGACAGCCGCTGGAGGGCAGGAAGGTGGGGAGGGGTGGACCCCCCAGCAGGCTTGGGGTGGGCAGGGGGCTGGCCCTGCCCAGAGTGCCCGCTGATCCCGACTGAAGTCTTAGACATGCGGCCTGTGGAGGCTGAGAAGAATCTTAGAACTCTGGGGTGAGAGGGTGATCTGCTTGTGACATCTGTCACCCCATTGACCACCAAGGGTGAAAGTGAAGGTGAAAGTTGCTCAGTCATGTCCGACTCTTTGCGACCCCGTGGACTGTGCAGTCCATGGAATTCGCCAGGCCAGAATACTGGAGTGGGTGGCCTTTCCCTTCTCCAGGGGATCTTCCCAACCCAGGGATTGAACCCAGGTCTGCCACATCGCAGGCGAATTCTTTACCAGCCGAGCCAGCAGGGACACCGCAGGGAGCTGAGACAAACCCAGGGAGGTGCCAGGGTTGACTCAGCAGAATTCCATCCCCTTGGGGTGCAGGCGGGAAAACGGAGGCCCAGCAAGGGACAGCCTCTTGTCCAGGGTCCTACTTTGGGCCCCTGAATCGAGGAATTCCTGTCCTGCGTTCTTTTTGATGTAATGACATTGGTATTATTAAATTTTTTAGAAGCGTTTTTAATTGGAGGCTTAATTAATTTAATTGGAAACTATAACGTGTTGGTTTCTGCCAGACAACAACGTGAATCAGCTGTAAACGTGTGCGTGTCCCCTCCCTCTCAGCCGTCCTGGTGTTATTACATTTTATCGGTTAATCATTCTGTAAGAATAGAATCTTCCACCCAGGCTGGTGAGAGGTAAGGAAGCAGTTCATGGAGAGCGCGCCCGCACGCTTACAGATAGCAGAACGCGGCGACAGCCGGCCGCGCCCTCCCTGTGCTAAACGTGCCCCACGTTTCCTTTGAGCCCAGCTGCATCTGCAAGGCGTGGGCGCGCTCATCACACCCGCTTCACAGCCCAGAAACTGAGGTTCCCAGTGGCGGCATCGCCTGTCCAAGAACCTGTAGAGGTTGAGCGGCTGCAGCCAGGACTCTGGCCCAGCCTGCATCCCGCGTTCACGGCTGGGAAGAACGCGGCATGTGTTGGTTGGGCAGGGGTGATGGGGTGTGCGTGTGTGTGTGTGTATGTGTGTGTGTTTCCCGACTCAGCTGAGCTAGGGGTCTTCCAAGTTTAGGGGGTGCTGAGGGGGAGAGGAGGCCCTGTTTCACAGAAGGGGAGGATGTGGTGGGGAACCTGCTCTGCCGCCCGCTCCTCTGCAGACAGCGGTGCCCATCCTGCCGCCTAGCAGCTGGCTCGGAGGGACGGCCTGCGCCAGGGCTACCGTGCACCCCTTCCAGGGACCTGGTGGAGGAGCGCTGGCGGGGCCGGGCCCTGGTACCCAGCGGCAGGCTCCGTCCTTCCTCCCTCCACCGCCCGCCCCTCAGGGGTGGGCCCCACTTCCTGCTCAACCCTCCTGGCCCGCCTGGCACCCTGGCAGGACAGGACAGCCAGGAGGGTTCTGTGTGGTGTCAGGCATGACTGCAGAGAAAAACCCGTCTCAGTGGACACTGCTCGCATGCCAGGGGAAATCCTTGGTCTGTTCTTGGGTGAGCTGAGCATCCCTCGGGTGGGCAATGGGCCAGGTCCCTTCATCTGCCCATCTTCAGGGATTGTGGGCTGGGGGCTGATGGCCTATGAGGACTTCCTCCTTCCACACCTGGGCTGGTGGCATCTCTGGAGGAGGAAGGTCATCGGAGATCTCAGTAGAGGTGGCAGAGTGCCTTGGAGTGGGTGAGAAGGTCCGTGAGAAGCAAGGACAGTCTCAGTAAGTTACGGCCTCTGAAAAGTCCTCGGAGAGAGTCTTGCTGGTGGCACCCTCCCCATTCTCCAGATGGGGAGACTGAGGCCTTGAGAAAGCGAGAGAGGCTCTCAAGGTCCATAGTGAGCTGCTCGCAGAACCTAGTCCGGGACACTTCCCACCACGTCATGCTGCCTTCTTGGCAGGGCTGTCTGGATGCTGCCTCGTCCAGGAAGCCTTCCTGGATTTCCCCTGTGCAGAGTTGGTTCTTTCCCTGTTAATGGTGCTCAAGGCCGTCTGTGCCCGCCCGGCCACTTGGGCCTGGCACTTTGTGTTGTAACTGCTGATTAACCTTTTGGTCTTGCCGGCCAGGGGGAGTTTTGTTGAGGGCAGGGTGTGTGTCTGATTTATTTCTGCCACCGTAGCCCTGAGCATGGGGCCTGACGAGTCGGTGTGCATGTGGGGTGAAAGCACAGGAGAGAGGAGAGGAGGAGGGAGGAGTGGGGAGCACCACAGATGGGAACAGGGGCTGGAGGGGGCAAGGGCGGGGGCCGGGAGGAGCCTGGAGCTGGGCTGGGCCCCCTCGGGGCCTGGTTCCCGAAGGTTGGGGAGCCCGACCTGTCTGCTGCCCGCTGCCCCCCCCGCTGACCTGCCGGCTTCCTCTCCCTGCAGGAAGCGTCCCCTGGGACCTGGAGAGCCCGCCCGTGTGCCTGCCTGTGGGGCCGGGGCCCGTCCGCGTCCTGCTGAGCCTGGAGGAGGCTGTGTGGGCCAGCTGTGGGCCCCGGGTCACCGTCCTGGACACCACCAGCTTGCAGACTCAGGTACCGGCCCTGCCTCGCGACCCGTGGCCCCAGGGGCCCGTCTCCAGGCGTCCCCTCTGCTGACCCCTCTCACACTCTGCCGGGCGCTGCCCTGGGCTCCCAGGGGCGTCTCGGGGTCGTCAGAGTTTCCTGGGCTGCGCGGGGGGCGGGATCCCCGTGCGGCCGGCTCCTGCCTTCCCCGACACGCTCCCTCAGGGCTGCCGAGAGGGAAGGGTCCCCACCCTGCTGGGCAGTGGGCTCACTCCTCCGTCGTGTCTGCTGCTCCCCGGGGAGCTGGGGCTGGGGTCACTGTGCCCCCAGGGAGCACAGTGCGTGAGGAGCCACACCCTGTGAAGAGGCCTGAAAACCCACTCTCTGGGGCTGCCTTTCCTGCCTCCAGCTCACTCAGGGGCCCGGCTGTGCTGAGGGCGCGGCCGGTGCGGATGCCGGCACTCGGGGCGCCGGGCTCTTCAGCCAGTGTGGACCCCGTGGGGAAGGGGCGCTCGGCCAGCACCGGGGTCCTGCCTCGTCCCGTCGTGAGCGCTGCCCGATCCTCGGCCGCTGCGATGCGGGCCTCGTCTGGGGGTCCTCTCTGGCTCGGCCTGGACCCTCTCCTGTCGGTGACCAGCAGCCCTGCCCACCCCCTTCCCTGCAGCCCAGGCTCCATCCTGCCTGGCTCCCCGCGGGGTATTTTGGTGACGATCCCTGTTACTTGATTTGCTTGGGTTACCAGCTTGGCCACCAGGCCCAGGGGGAGCCTGAGCCTGGCCCTGCTGCCTTCCTGCAAGGACCTTCTTTCCTCGCCCACTGGGTCCTGCCTCAGCTTCCTCAGCAGCCAGGCCGTCTGGGCTGGATCCCGGAGGACAGGTCCTGGTTTGGCAGATGGAGACCCTGAGCCCAGGGAGGGTGAGCCCCGAGACCCGGGTTGAGCGTCAGGGTCCCAGTGCTGACTCCCCGCCTCTGCTGGAGCTTGAGGCTCAGCCTTCACATCCGTGCCTTCCCGGCTCAGCCTCGCGGTGCTGGGACTGTGAGCACACACGTTTTCCTGCCCCTTCCCCAGGGTCCCCTCGCCTCTGTGTGAGATGATGCTTGGGGGCCCCAGTCCTGGCCAGGGAGGTGTTTGGTTAGCGGCCCTTTGGGGCGCTGGGAAGGCAGGTGGGGTGGGTTTGCCCCCAGCACCTTGGACAGCGGCGAGAGGCGGTGCTGTGGGCGGAACCAGAGGGTTTGGGTGTGCAGCTGCCATCAGGTTTTGAGAAGTGTCTGGGGGCTCGCGGTGAAACGTGGCCTGCCCCCCCATTTTGGGGCTGCTTGAACAGCCCTTCCCCCCTCAGGTTTGCACCGTGGCACCGGGGACCTTTGGCCTCACTGTTGGGGCGGGCCTGGCAGAGGGGGCGGGCTCTGCGCGGGGCCAGGGAGGAGCCACCCCTGCTCTGCTTCTGGATCTCCTGGTCCTCCTTCTCCCTGGCAGATGGGTGGGGGCGGGGCCTCTGGTCCCAGCCCTGCCCCGTCACTGCCTTCAGGGGCCTCAGCCTTCGGGGAGGAAGCTGACGGGGGGGGGGGGCTGGCTCCCTGGGCGCGCAGGGTCACTGATGGGCCTGGGTCTCAAGGAGGAAGCTGACCGGGGGGGCTGGCTCCCTGGGCGCGCAGGGTCACGGATGGGCCTGGGTCTCAAGGCATTTGGGTGCAAGAATGATGAGTACGGCCCCCCCAAGCAGACCCCTACTGTCCCCATGCCAGTCCCAGTGTCTTCCCGGGTTTTTCCTGGGCCTGGGGAAATGGCAGCCCACTCCAGTGTTCTTGCCTGGAGAATCCCAGGGACGGGGGAGCCTGGTGGGCTGCAGTCTATGGGGTCGCACACAGTCGGACACGACTGAAGCGACTTAGCAGCAGCAGCAGTAGGGGCCCAACTTAGGGCCTAGGTGTTGTGACTGCCTAACTTGCATCCTTCCTGCCGGATGTGTGGTTTCTTTGGGAAGTCAAGCTGCTCCTTTGGAGTGGCTGGTGTTGGTGGCGTGGGGTGTGTGTCTGCGTCACGGGTCTGCCATCCCCTCGCTTCGTTGGCTGGAAGGCCCCCTTCTGCCGACAGCCGTCCCAGGAGCTTGAGACAGAGGGACCAAGGGAAGGACAGGGCCCGGGCATGACCCTGCCTGCCCTCCCCCGATCCCACTCCTCGCCAGTGGCCCCACCGTCCTGCCCAGCCCTGCAGCTCAGCTCCGGGACCCCTGCGGTCCCCAGGGCGGAGGGGCCACAGGCTCCAGCGCGAGGCTGCGATGATTTAAGATGAGCTTGGACCCTCGCTCTTAAGAAGGGGTCAGTGTGGCCCTTGTCCTGCTCTGCATCCACGGGGAGCAGCGGGCGGGCCCTGGGTGTGGGGAGGCGGGATGGAGGAAGGGGCAGCTGAGGAGGCCCTGCGGCAGGGCAAGAGGGAGCCTGGAAATGGAAAAGTTTGTGGGGGCGCGGGGCGGGCGGTTTGCCTTCAGCACACACCATCCTCCGCACAGTAACAAGGAGCCCGCCATGCATACTTAATAGAGCCTCCCTCCGCCACTGCTCGGAGAAGAGGAGGCCGGCCTACCTCCGCGCTGGGCTCCGGGACGGCCATCTGGCTGCTGCTAGAGACCGCCGGACCCAGCCAGGGGCTCCGTGCGCCCGGCCGGAGGACTGGCCTCTGGGCTGGCCTGCTGTCCAGGCTGCCCCGGTCCCCAGGGCTCAGGCGCGTCCTCACCGCGGGGCACGCCTCTGCCCGGAAGGGCGTTGTGCCAGACCCTCCTCCGGGACCAGGAACCCCGTGGGGGCTGGAGATCCTCCACGCCAGGGGGCCCAGGAGGGTCCTGGCGGTCCTGGGTGTGGTTGCCCATCTCTGGCCCGAATATGAGGACATGGGGGGTTCATTTAGAGATTGTGTCAACACTGAGGCGCTTTCTGCAATTTCTCCACCACCAGGAAGTAAAATAATAACCAACACACGCTGAGTGCTTAGTATGGACCCGGCCTGCGGTTAAGCGTATTACATGTCTTAGCCCACTTAATCCTTAAACCACCCTGTGAGCTGAGTACTTTTATTATTCGTACTTTACCGGTAAGTGAACAGAGGCCCAGAGAGGTTCAGTGATCGCCCAAAGTCACACAGCCAGAAGGAGGCGGAGGTGGCATGGGGGCCTGGGCGTCCGCCTCTGAGTCCACTCTGAAGCCCCGGGTTGGCTGCGGGGGCCAGAGGGGTGGTCTCCCTGGGCTGCACCGTCCACCACAGTCTCGGGCGTACGTAAGTTTCAGGCAGTGTCATCCGTTAAGTACCGCGTTCGCCAAAAAGTTTGTTTGGGTCTTTCTGTAACCTCTTACTGCTTTTTCCACCAACACATCTTCTGGGCCGAGGATGGACCCTGCTCGTTTCCCGGCATCTGTCTGTCTGGCTCGCGTAGCAGGCGCCCTGAGTCAACAGCCACGGAGGATGTGGGTAGGAGGGGTCCTGATTGGCAGGGCTTCGCGCAGAGAGAGGGCTGGAGGGGCGGACTGGAGTGAGACCTCGTCTCAGCTCGGAGCAGGCCCGGGATGGCCAACGCTGGCCCAGGGAGGGGAGGCCCGTGGGGGGCAGGCCCAGGCCCTGTGGGGGCCCAGGGGAGGAGAGGGGGCTTCTCGACCAGGGAGGAGGGGCAGGGGCAGGGGCGCTCTGGGCGGGGCAGGTGAGTGGGCCTGATGGAGACGGGGCCTCGGGGGTGGGGAGGGGGGACACCGGCAGGCCCGGCTGTGTGGGTGGGGGGCTCCCGGGAGCGGCCCTGGGCTGCTGCCCCCATTAGGCCCGCTGGCCTCCGTGGCCGCCCCGGCCCTGCGGAGCCGGTGCCCGTGCGTGGGGCCCAGCCCGTCTCTGGGCTCTCCGCTCGCCCCCCCCAACTGCTTGTTCAGCCCCTTGATCCCCGTGGAGGCCTCGGCGAGGCCTGTTAAATAATAATGTAGCTCACCAGGGCCTGTGTCAACACCGCATCCTCCGTGTTCATTATCTCGATTGCCACCTTCAAAGTCTAATCCAGTCGTCTGGAGTTCATTTTAACTGATCGCTGGAGGGGATGCGGGCTGTGGGATGACTGTTGCATCTTAATTAAAAAAAAAAAAGAATGGGGACGGGAGGCCTGAAGCTTGTGGGGCGCCCTCCGCCCAGCCGGCGTGGTCTGGGCAGCGGGGCAGGGCGGGGTCTCCCCCACCAGCTCGGGGGAAGGTGGCGGTGTGATGGGCGGGGTCTTCCCCACCAGCTCAGGGGAAGGTGGCGGTGTGATGGGGGGGTCCCCCTCACCAGCTCGGGGGAAGGTGGTGGTGTGATGGGGGTTCTCCGTCACCAGCTCAGGGGAAGTTGGCAGTGTGATGGGGGGGTCTCCGTCACCGGCTCAGGGGAAGGTGGCGGTGTGATGGGGGGGGTCTCCCTCACCAGCTCAGGGGAAGGTGGCAGTGTGTTGGGCGGGGTCCCCCTCACCAGCTCATGGGAAGGTGGCGGTGTGATGGGCGGGGGCGCCGGAGAAGGGGCTGAGCTGCGGTGGGTTTCGGACCGGCAGGGCCCCTTGTGCTGAGGGGGACGCCCACGGGAGGGCAGGGGTCTCTGGCCCCCGCTCCGGGCCCAGTTGGCCCCTCCGCTGCCCTCTGAACGCGCCAGGCTCCTTCCCCCGCTAGGCCTCTGCCTGCGCTCTTGCGCTTCCCCTGCCTGGAGCAGGAACAATGTGCCCACGGGCTGTCCCTTGGGCGGCTCCTTCCCGTCCCCCGACCTCGGCTCAGCGGCCCCCTGCTCTGTGGGCCCTGCCTAACAGCGTCATCAGTCACCTCCCCCCGGCCAGGGTCTGCACACGTCAGCGGCCTCACTGTCCCCAGAGCATTGGTCACCGTCTGCAGCCGTCTCCCAGATGGCTGTTGTCTCTCTGCACCCACCCGGCCGTGGACAGATGAAAACAGGGTGGGGCCTGGTCTTTTTTTGTAGTTTTTTTTTTTTCTCGGCAGGATCTTAGTTCCCTGACCAGGGATCGAACCCATGCCCGCTGCAT